TGTGTGTGTGTGTGTGTGTGTGTGTGTGTGTGTGTGTGTGTGTGTGGCATGAGTATCAGATTGTAAAATATGACGGGCAAAAATTAAATATACAAAATAAAACAAGGAGCCATCACATCGTGTGTACATACAAAAAAAAGAAAAAAAAAACAAATATTCACCTATATCAAAATGATCACGTATATCCTAACTTTTTCTTCATCGATGTGATAAATAAATTTAAAATAAAATCTACATATAATTACTCTCAATTTTAACATATGTAAACATTGAACGTTGCGAGACGTCTGCATTAATCGCTTAAATAATACAATATTAATATAAATCTAACTAATATCAATAAAAGCCACTGATTGTTACTAAATTAAAATAGAAAAGTAAAATCACAGATTAGATACATACACAATAGATGTATACTTAACTCTCTTGTAAATAATATTCAATAATTATTCGAAATATAACATATTACACAATACAATTATTAGAAATAGAAATACAAAGAATTCCATAATTTTTGTTTCAATGCGCTATTGTTCAAAAAATAGAACATCGGTAACACATAAGAGATTTAATTTAGGATAATTTGGAAAGTACGCCTTATGTTCCTCTTAATGTAAACTTTATGGGTAACATGTAGCTTCATTTCAGCGTGATTTGATTCGTATAAATTCGCGTAATTCGAAACGCATAAAGAAGGTAAAAATTCAACATATATCTCATATAAAATTGCCGTCAATTAAAAAAAAAAGTCAAAATATATAAGTTCATTGATGGTTTAATATATATTAAAATCTCATCTCACACTATTTAAAAAATTCACAACTCTAAACAATTGACAAATATATACAATTCAACGAACGCGTGATATAAATATATGTATGCTTTGTTCTCTCATTTCTTCGATAGAATTAATTCATAATGGAAATGTCGTCGAAATAAAAATGCAAAGATCATTTCTCGTCAGATGCAGACAGAACCACGATTGGGTCGATCTAATTTAGTGGAAATGTAAAATAGAATTGCGCGTCAGTTAGTCAGCACATGAAGGAGGACAGTACGCACTCCCCGGTTGTCGCTCATGTACAGAAATTCAACTAAACGATATATATTAATAGGTATACACACACATATAAATATTTACAACCCATTAAGTTCTCCGTATAATTTAACGACGTATGCAAGATAAAACCTCGTGCTGTCGTGTGTGTATTAAGTGTTACTCTCAGTGGAGTGCTGTGACCGTAATGACGAGTAACAGCCTTGGCAGACCCTAACTGGCTTTAAAATACCGAGCCTGGATATCTTGGACTCGAATCGGCTGCATCTGTGTGCGAATGTAATTAGCACGGTTGAATACACACATATACACAGCGCCGAACACCATCAAGATCTGTGACTTCACGATTCTTGAGACTTACCTCGAGCAGAATACCTGTCCGCAATTGCGACAATGGTGCCTCCTCTCGTAAAGATTGAATCTGACGCCGCAACCGACGCACGAGTCCGCGCCCTCATCTTTCAGCCAATGATCGGCGACCGTACGTCCGGGTTGCTCGCACACACTCCACGAGAACACTCTGCCGCGGGTGTCGCCCACGTACACTGTTCTATGATCCCTACGAGTCGAGGCACAGCTCAATTTATTCGACAACGACGCATAAGATGTAATCAAACGCATGTATAATCGCACCGCGAGCTTGCTGAAGACACAAGCCAGCAACCCATCACTTCAAACGTAATTTCTCCTGAATCTATCTCATAAGCATCATGGATTACTATTACACGGAATAATCCATACCTTGATACCGCTAAAGCTGTGATAGACGCTGGTTCTGCATTGTCCTTGCGATCGTAGGCAGTATGCATCGTCAGTTTGCTGCGGAAAACCAACTGTCTCTGCCACTTGAAGCCGTCCCGTAGAATATTCTGCGGATTGATCTTCCGCGGCTTCGTGTCGGCCTCGGTGACCATGACGAAACTGTCGGTCAAACTGGTGTCGCTCTTGCTGGCCCTCAATGCCCCCTCAGAGTCGCCCGGGTTGCTGGCGGACTCACTGTGTGAAATACAGTAGAGCTGTACTTCATGATATCACAATCCTCTTCTGATATCAGAGACAACGTTACCTGGTCTGCGTGCCTTCGCTGTCGGCCCGCCCGCCGCCCTCGCTTTTCCTAAACATCGGATTCCCGCGACTTTTCCTGCGCAGCACGACGGTAGACGCGTGATTGTTCTGAGGCGACGGTTTGTTGCTCGAGCCGTTGCTCGACTCGTTATCGGAGCACTCTTCCTTCTCCTCGTGAAGCCTAGAAGCTTCCTTGGCATTCTCCGCCTCAGAGAGGCTGCTCTCGGAACCGCTTTTCATGAGTATACCTTTAAGAGAAGGTAAAATTTCCCATTACAGTCAGATTTATTAATGTAATTTTAAATAATGAATTTCCATTTTTATTTTGCTAAAAACATCTAAGGGGTATGGAAGTGGATACTTTCCGAGATATTTTACATTATATCTTGATACCCTTTTCAATATAAAATATGAAATATCTCATTATATATATATATATATATATTATGTGTATATATATATATACACATTGATAAAGAAAAATCAAAATACAGTAACACTTACCTGATCCCTCGGCGGATATACTCATTTGCTTGACTAATTCATGGACTCTCTTCTTCGTCGTTTCGGTTTGATTCTCTTCGTTACCCTGCCCCTCGTTCTTCTCTTTGGCGACCACCACCTCCTCAGGCTTCTCCTCCTCCGCAGGCACTTGCACGTAATCCATCGACCACATCTGTATAAACAGACTTCTTGCAGTCCAAAGATCACGGATATTTTTTTGTCGTGAAGTGTTCTTAAATGTTCTCGAGTGTTTTTTTTTGTTTCCTCTGAAGTGTCGAGTATACGAGAAATACGAAAGAATAAGAAAGATGTATCTTACACGAGCGACACCATCAGTGGAGCCAGTCATGATTACGTTCTGAGAATCCCATTCGTGAGTCTGACTGAAGGCGACGCACAGTATTTGCTGCATTCGGTCCGCGCGGCCGACGCATGTGTTTACACTCGCCAATTCTTCGCCGTTGATGCTCCATACGTGTAACCACGTGGCCGCGCACGTGGCAATGTCCCCCTGTAATATACGTATTCTTTGTTTAAACATTTATCGTATAACTTTTATAATATCACAACTATATTATAGTATTTTATAAATTTACAAAGAAAATAAGAAATTATAATCAATTATATATGTACTATAATATATAATAACTATATACATATATATGTATATACATATATATCACTATTTTACTTATTTCACTTATACGTGTTATTATTATATATTTATATATTTATAATCTTATGTATTATCTATATGTGTACTATATATACATATCTCTAAATTTGTATAGATGTGACTGAAATGAATACCGTCAATTCGTTTATGGCCACTGCAGCCACCGGTCCCGCATGGCCCCTGAGCTGTCGCACGAACAAGCATCGGGACAAGTCCCATATGATGGCGGTACCGTCGCGTGATCCGGATACGATGACATTGTACGCGGGGCTAGACGACAAGCAAGTGACCGCGTCGGTGTGTCCATACAAGCATTGTTTTATGGACAGTTGTCGCTTGGCGTATTCCCAAACGGTCACGACCTACGAGATGAGCGTGAATTGAAGATGACGAGCGACATGCGTATGATAGCAACGGAACGGAAAGAGACACTTACAGAGCTGGTGCCAGCGGTAACTATCAGTTTGGAAGACGGGCAAACGCACGCTACTATTTCGCCGCTGCTCTGCATCATCGCCTCGCCGACGAAGATTGCCTTGTCGCTGTCGTAGTTGCCTATTCTGAGGGAATGATCGGCGAATCCCCACGCCACGTACTTGTTGTACGACGGCGGGATCAGCGTCTTGTTTTGCTCCACCGCCAGCACAGCTTTGTCCACGTGCAGTATCTGTCCGACCGGGCCCTTGAGTTCTGTTCGACCAAGTTAGAAGATGTTTGTGAGTACACGAATCTTCAAATTCTAGTTGATCACGGGACGAGGTCTCGCGTACCTTTGATGGGCTGTAACGAAGGTTTCAAATTATCGAGATTATGGAAGAACAATTTGTCGGACGTGGTGATGCTCAGACCGGGGGTGATCGGTCCGGGATCTATGACGCTGGTCCTCTGCGACATCTTCTTGGCTGGGTGCGGCTTTTTGAACAGTTGCTTGGGTATCTGGCCGAAGTTGTTGATGAAGCCGATAGTCGCGTTTTTCTTCAATGGATCGTCGATGCTGCAATCGTGAGAAGTTCATTGAAGACATTTCATCCTAAGCAGTCGACGCACGATGAGAAAACGGTATCTCAGAGACGTCTAGTCGAAAACTCAGGGAAATTACGTCGAGTTTGTACGTGTTGTACTGACTTGTAGATGTCGACGTTGCCCTCGTAAAAGAGATGGTGGAATACATTGACAGCTTCGACCGCCGCGGGGCCGTTCTGCTTGCAGCCGAATATCAGGTCGATCCACTGATGGAGATGCTGCGACACGTAGTCGCACTCCAGCGCGAGTCTGTGCACGCGGATAAATTCGCGAGGGTCTTGCTTCGCCCAAGGTGGAAGAACAATATCGCCGAGTTGAACACCGCTCTGCTTAGAGCCTGTAACAATATCACAAGACGCGTGAGGAGGAAAAAAGAGAGAAGAGGAATCGAATTTATAAGCGAATTCGGTCATCGCGTCGGTGCGCATCGAAAATTGCTACACAAATGAAGTTATTATTTACATGTAAAAGTGTATAAACACTATTGAATAATCAAATATCAAATCGCTTCTATCATGTCACTTTAGATATTTTATATGTAGCTTTTAGTACGCATTAAATCGATACGAGTGATCGAATTCACCATCGGCTTGACGGCCGACATTCACCTAAATCGAAGTGATTCGAATTGACAAGGAATTCCGGTAGGTAAAAGAACTCCGGGATAAGTTCTTTCACGTCCGCCATGTTGTGCTTGGAGGCTGACAGCCACGCTTCCTTTATACTGTTGAACATCCTGTCGGCCAAGTCGAAGTGCCCGCCCTGCGAACAATTTCAGCGTGATCGTGCGTGCAACGACCAAGAGGACAATTCGTAACGCGCTTTCGACCTGGCACGAACCTGCAGTCGGAGGAAATGCTGCGTGAACGGCTCCATTCTCACCAGGTATGAGCACACTATCATCGCGGACGAATAATGCGTACCGTAATGGTAAGGAGGGGTCTCTCCGTGCGGGTCATCCCACTCTTTGTATCTGCAAATCGATTTAATTAACATCTTCATATCTCTGACACATTGCGGACATAGGACTTACGTACCTCTTTTTAAACTGCAGCAATCGCTCGGGGCTTTGAGCGCCCATGGGCTTGCTGAAGTCTCGAAACGTCGACGAGTCCGTGAAATCGAGCTCCTCGCTGTCGTAATCGGCCAAGATCCACGGGAAGATTGGATATTGCATAAGATCATTGTAACTACGCCCCGCCAGGGTGTTCAGATGCATCAGGTATTGGAAATTCGATATTTCTCCTCTCTAAGGAAACATTCCATGTTTAATCGAGAGCGCGAACAAGTCGAGAATCTATATTTCATATATCATCTAGCTATTTAATGTAAAATATTCCTGAGATACTGATATAATAACCACAATTTTGTGCACAAAACTGCTTCCCAAAATATGACGAAAAATATATGTCAGTTCGATCACTTTATAATAAATATAAAATGTTAATTTCTTTTTTTTCAGTATATATTGTGTAGAAATGATATATTTTACTATTTTCACATTGAATATTTCGACGAATAATCGACAAAATGACCTCTATATCAATGATTGAAATCGTCACTCCTGTATGGGTAACGAGCAGTCCACGTGTTAACGGAATTACCATCGTACTTACCACCCATCTCTGAGTGACCGAGGTCTCCCCGATGAGATTCGAGAGCAGGCCGGTGGCCTGCTCGACGTTGGCTGTGCGTTTCTGGCCAGCCACGGATTGCTGGGCGCTGTCGGCGATCGCAGTGGCGACGTTCATAAATCTTTGGTAGACCTTGTTTCTTACTTTTCGCGGGAAAGCCAACAGGTAGTTTCTGCCGTCGCCGCTGAACACTTCCAGCGCCATCGGTTGCAGCAGGTATCGTCTCTTGTGCACTTCCCTGCGAACATCGCAACGTCACAAAGACCCGGCCTGTCGCAGACTGACGTGAGTACAAAATCTCAATTTCGTGTCTCGATGGACTCTCACCTGACGTCTTCGTAATTGAATTTGGAGCACTGCCTCATCGCCCTGGATCTTCTCGGGGAGCCCGGTGACGGCAAGATCGGCTCGTACGCCTCCGGCAAGCTCTCGATGTCTCTGATCTCTCTGGACTTCAGCAACGTGAACCCGTCGATCACATAGAAGTGTTCCTTGCCGAACAAGAGGATCCCCTCGGTCGTGTCCAGACCCTGTATTCGCGCGCATCTGAACATGTGACTGATCTGAAATGCGAGATCGTCACAAGGCAGCTGTCCTGAATAGCGTCAACACGGATATTATGTCTCGTGATTGCGACCTTCTCGTGCTCCTCGAGCAGACGTAACAAAGTTTGATTGTCTGGGACAGTCTGATTGTTCTCCTCCTCCTGCTCGTTATCCTCGGGCGCCTCGTCCGGCTCGCTGGCGTGGCGCTCCAACGTGCACGGGACCATCGGTGGCTCGCTCTCGGTAGAAGCCTCGTTCACATTTAACGGTGTGTCGTCTATCACGGGGTCTCGTTCGCGCTCGAACATTCCCGACGAGTTGCCTAGTTGCTTCAGATAGTACTCCTTGCTGTCCATGCTGGTCGCTACTTTGTACTTTAGCTGTTTCTGTACGGGTGGTAAAGTAACACGCGTCTCAGTGTGGCTGTCAGTGTCGATATTATCGGGTTTGGAATTTTTGCTCCAACGCGCAGCTTTGATGCGACCTACTCACGTTATCAGGGTGCTCTAATTCAGGCCGATACGGATAGTGTATGTAGAAGAGCTCGTTCTTCATCATCTTCTTGCGCATTCTGCACGGTCCCTCCGTCATGTCTAACATCCACTTGTCGAGTTTGGTAGATGTCGGGGGCCCCCAAAGGCCGCGTTCTCGTGTCAATTCCGTCTCGGTTTGCAGCCATTCCTAGGAAAGGCATGTTTCTTAGAGCATCGATCTCGCGTAAATTTCAGGCTGTCTCATCCGACGAAGAGACTAAACCGTCTTCGAAGAACCACGGAAGAGGATTTATTTCTTACTTGATACACGTAACGCTGAGTGTGCAGATTGGTCTGCTGGTGCTGCAAACGTCTCACCGCGGCGAGCTCCCTGACCAGCGCGACGTGCTGCTCCGTCCACTGGGCAACGGTGTTCTGATGCAGTCTGAGTCTCACCCGCACGGACTCCTCCTTCCGCACCTTCGTCCTGCTCGCTAATCTCGTCAATCCTCCGGTCACCTTTTGGATTTTCTACCGGTTTTTTTACACGTTCGATTAGTTTCGACAACCCCTAGCATTCTTAGCGATTCAATATCCTCATAGATCGCGAGTCCCAACGTACCGATTGGATCTGATTGTGAAGCTCCCAAGGGACCCTGTACGAGGCCCTTCTTTCCAGAACCACATAATTCAGCCAAAGCTTCGACGCGGCTTCGTGCACCTGCTCCCTCACGATCGACAATTCGGGCGCCCGTTCGTTAGCCACAGGCGCCGACAGGGTCACCTTGAAGACTTCCTCTATGGCGGGCTTCTTACACACGTACAGCTCCTCCCACACTCTCGTCGCCGCTACGGCCATCAGATTGTGTCCCTGATGAGACGTCAGCCTGTCGTCGCTGGATTCCACTTGCGGATTCACGTGCCAGGTCGTCTTCATGTTGGTGTCCAACATGATCTTTATGTCGGCCGTAAGTTGCAACAGGCAATACGTCAGGCAGCCGATGAACTCCAATTCGTGATTGCCAGCACCGAACACTAGTAATCTGCGAGAAGAGGGTCATGTCCGGTCAAGTCCGGTTGGTCCGCTTGCCTACCGACGGAACGTAGTAGAGGTGCAGATACAATACCTATGAGTAGTAAGCTTATGTAATGCCTCTAATACGGCCATTTGATCGGCGATAGAGTCTGTCGCGCGTGACAGTAAGAACAAGATCGTCCTATTCAGGCAGTGATGAAGGCCTTCCATGCTGACGGCACCGGGCCGCCGTTTCGCTTGGCCGATCAGCTTCACGATGAAATCGAACACCTCGTGCGGGTCTTTCGTCAGAGCGCCTAGAATTTCAGAAGGCAACCTTGTAACTCCCGACTCATATCGAACGATAAAATCGTATCTCTGCACCGAGTGGAAGATCAATGAACGCGTGTGAGCCGGACACCAATCACCTTGCCACAGTTTGTCGACTATTCTGGCTGCCACGTAGCACACGTTGTTGGTGATATTATTGACCGATCCGCCGGGAACGACGGGCAACGCAGCCTGTTCTCCTATGAGAACGTCCGCGGCCAACAGATGTTCCATCAATATAGACAACACCTCTGTCTGATAGCGCATCTGTTGGCCCGTCGACGCATGTTCCGGCCACGCTTCCAGAACCAGATCGATCGCCGGCGGCGACTTCGCCGTTACCGGCAGCGACAGGGAATCGACGACGATGACCCGCAGAAAGTCCATCACGAACTTCTTCGCCGGATGGTTCGTCAGTCCGACGTCCTTCGACGGCGATCTCACCAACACCGGCTCTTGCTGCAACAAACGTCCAAACACCAGTGTTAACATTTCCCAGGGAATGAGATGCAATTATTCTCTCACTAATCAATTACATTTCACTCTTATCATAACCAATTGCGTGATTTTATTAATCAGTTAGTAAGACACACTGTATTCTGTAATTGGTAGTGTTATTTCAAGTTCCCGACACTCATTGCTTTCGGGAGCCAACGGCGATACGGTTACCTCGTCGGCAGGGGTGCTGGCGCCGCTGCTATCCTGACTAGAACTCGCGGGTTTCGGAAACAAGGTCCCAGCTAAGGCACCCAGAACTTCCGCGGACATAAAGACTTGCATGAAGTCGGTGAAATTGTGGTAGAGGAAGAACAGGAATTGTATTATTGTCACGGGATAATCGTTCAACCATGCCGGTAGCACTTCGGGGCTGTGGAAATAAACAGATACATTCGCGCTCGCAATATTCGGATAAGTCGATCGGAGCTCCGTTTGGTAATGTTAACTCACTTGTTCGAGTGACTGTTTAACATAGTCCGCACCATAGCCAGCAACGTGACCACCGCTTCGGGACAGAGGTTAATTCTGCTAGCGAACGACGACAACGTGTGATTCGCTGGGACGCCGAACATGAAATTCCAGACGTTGTCCAAATCAAGCTGTCAGCAATAACGCAACGCCGATTAATATCACTGATATTCTCTCTCTCGTGTCGCGAGAGACGTTCCCACCTTCGAGTCGGTAGGCAGCAATTTCACAGGCTGTCCCATCATAAGAGCGATGAAGAGGAAGTACAGTTCCGGGACGAGGTCGATATGTTGCGGAAGCAACCAGCCCAGGTGTTGAAATCCCGGCACGTGTAGCCCAGACGGCTTAATTTCGCCGGTTGACATTTGCTGATGGCAACCTACGCGCGTTATAATTGTAGCAGATCAATATTACGCTTACGTATGTAAGATTATTAAATATTTGTCCAGCGGGAAATAGAATCAGACTGCGTTAGAAGGAGGAGAAGCATCACACGTACCGAGTGCTAGTGCCATTTTGTTGTGATCGGTATGTCGCAGCCAGCCTCCGTTGCTCGTTCCCTCCTTGAATTTCTGCAGGATCGATTGTACGGTGCACCCCGCGACGAGTATGCGTAATCCCCAGACAACCGTCGTGCTGTGGAGACCAGACTGCAGGAACAACAATACCCAATCCAGGCCCAGAACCGTGGCTACCTCTTCGCACATCCTGTACAATTTGCGGTATAATACATAGCAATACCAGCTTGACACGCTGATAAAAGCAACGAGATTTAGACATTCGTACGATCTCCCTTACTTGACATTAACTTTGCATCCGTTAAACAACAACGAGTGTAAAAGCTGCAAGCAACGGTTGCGCAGAAGTATACTCTCGCCTTCCCCGTCCTTAATTCCTTCTCCTTCCCGAAGGATCAGATGCTTCTCGGGACACAACGGCAAGGTAGCCACAATAAATTGCCCGAACCTGAACAAAAGAATGAGATACGATTGTAAAAACAGTTGCCCTAATATGTCTATCTACGCGAATGAGGAAATTGCTCACCATAATAAATCAGCTTGTCGCGGTTGGCTCAGTAATATGCTGAGAAGCGCCAAAAGGATCTGCCTCGTGCTGCCTAGTTTCACGTCGCCTAAGATGTGCAGTAATTTATGCACCAGTTGCAAGTCCCTCATCAGTCGCAAGTTAGTCCGTTTCTCGCTGGACTCCGCTATCAGCTCGTACAGGTGTTCGAGGAGAGACCTCAGCAATTCTCCGGGTGCTTCGTGCCACACCTGATAACGATGTATCGTGGTAGTTAAGTAAAAGTTGTTCGCCCCTTAATCCCATTAGAAATCGAAAAACCTATGGGCTCTCAAACCTACCTGCAAATCACACAAGAGGTCTTGGAACGCCGTGACGTTGGGTATCGCGCTGGTTTCTCGGCCGCTATCGACCGTCCCGACGAGACTGAACGTCAAGTGCAGTATGTGACTGTTCAGCAGAGGACACTTCCTTCTCAACAGCATCGCTAACGTCTGATACCCCCTCCTGCGATCCATCTCTTGTTGGGCCGCTTGGTTGGATCTCACCACGCAAACTAGCGCCTTTACGGCCGCATACAGAGATTCTACGTCCTGGGCCATAGCTATCAAACCTGCGAGGACAAATTTAAGATCGGCTTCAGCCCCGTCCGATTGACTCAATCGTCACCTCGATCGCTCTCAGTCGTACGTACCTAATAACACCGAACATCCTCCTACGTTGTCGATCATAGTAGCTACGGGCTTAGGACTAAATACACGAACACCGAGATAACCGACAACTACACCGCCTAATGCTCTCGCCGGACCGCTGAGGTGTCCCGCGGAATTATGGAGAACTCTGATAGGGGTGGCGTTTTCGTGGGATGACATGCCGAGCTGTAATCAGATTTTAGATCGCGGAATCTTTCCGTTTGCCTCGCCTCCGAGAGGCGAAAGCTCGAGGAAAATCGAGACGTTCCTTACCTGTTTGGCGATTGATTTGTTATCGGCTCGACTGTAGACCTTCCTGATCTTGGCTAGGGTCAATTGCGACATGGCCTTCGCGTTCAGGCCAAACACAACCTTCTCTTCGGCCACGAGGGCTATCAGAGGTTCGGGACCTGCGATAACGTTACATATTAATGATTGTTAATGCGAAGTATGAATCGTACCTCGTGGAAGTATCGATAGTAACAGCGTGTTTATATAGGTACCGCTCAATTGGGGAGCTTGCAAGCTTCCCATGTAATGCGGTCCTAGCTTGAACAGAGTGGCGATATTCTGAGAATTAAACACTTCCTCCACCAAATGGCACGGCCCTTGTTTCCACGTTAATTTGGAATATCGGCGCCAACAGGGCGGCGTGCCGATGTAGCCGTAAACTGGAGAGGCTACGGTCAAATTGGCCGCTCCACCGCCGGCAACTTGTGAGATATAATGAAGCTGAAAGCGGATACGATAATTAGAGGTACGATTGTCGCTTAAACTGTCACTGAATTGATAAGTGATCACTTTTAATTATCGCCTAAATACAAATTTTTGTATAGGTAAGTAGAGTAAAAAAATGCTATATTAAGTTCTACATCGATCAATTTCTTAGTTAGGCAGGATCATGTATAGGATATATTTAGGACTCGGAATTCTCTCCTTGATCCAAACTTTTGTTTCCCCCTCGCACCAACTGACCCTGCTTTCGGTGATAGTTACCTTCTGACTGTGAATATGTTGGCCGTCCAAATACAAAGAGAAACTCGAGTTCTTAAGAACAGCGCGATTCAGCACAATCGCGATATGATGCCATTGTCCTTCGTGAAGCAAGTCCGGACACCAAACTCTGGCACCGCATTCGCCAGTTCCGTCGGGCTCCCACTCGCCCGTATCTAAATAAAACATTGATATACGTTGCATCGCCTTTTAACGATACTCGCGAAAGTCGATAAGATATAATACGGAATGTCACTCACTTTGGGAGATAAGCGTCTCCTGAGTGGAGACGATAATAGCTTTATCTCTAGCACTAAGAACAGCGGTCAGGCAAATTAAATCTTTCGCAGATTGTGCGGATTGTGGGGTACGCACCAGCGTGAGCAATCTCACGCAATGAGGATCGGTTCTCGGATCGCTAAATTTGTCAACACATATCCACGTGCTGTACGTTAAGCCGGTCTGTGGTGGGAATAACCTGTCGCCTGAAATCATTCGTGCATTCGCAAGCGTGAGAGACTTGTGTCGTCCGAGAAATTCACATTTGTATCGCATCAAGTCCCGCCTCTTCGTTATACTTCAATCTTCAATTTTACACAACACAACTCACACGTAGAACATTTAGTCGACATAGAACTGTATATTTTACTTTTACTTAATTATCATAATCGTAAGGTCCACGGCACGCACAAGAACGTAAACAGTAAGACGCGAGTAGTAAGCAAACTGACCAATCAGAGTCAATTATTGTTGGACTATACGTAGAATAATCGATGATGGTTGGTCAGAATTGTTGTGCGTCCTAAGGGTACAAATCACGGAGGACACGCCGCTTACCCGAGCCAATTCCGCCCAATACGCTGTTGTCCGCGGCGACTACCGTAGGCGGGGTGGTGCTCTGCGGTGCTACACTCGGTAGATACAAGCAGGCGAACCCCTCGGCGCTCATATCCAATTCGACGAAGGGCGGTAAGGTGCACGAGCCATGAGCTCGAAAATCTTTGGGCGTCGTCATCGACACCAGTGTCTTAATGCGCGTCAGAGGGACAGGCCCTCCCCTGGGTTTGTTCGGCTCGATATCATCCAGCGAGATACAGCACAACGGGTCGCCCAAACGCAGGAACTCCCTGGAGAAATGAAAGTGTGAGCGAGCGAGGCTCTCCCGCCGCGTCCTCCACCCTTTATCGTTCGTTCACCTCAGGTCCCTCGGTTCAAGCGATTGGGCCGCGAGTCGCTCGATGATGTACTGCAGCGGCTGGTGGAGCGGATGCGTCTCGTCCTGCAGGGCGATCCTGCCCATGGACAAGAGCTCGCCGGCCATGCCGGCCTCGCACATCACCTGCTGGTTCCTCTCCGAGCGTACCAAGCTCTTGATGATCTCCGCCACATACAGCTGCAACGCTAGCGCCATTTGCGGATTAGACGGCTCGGATATAGACGGGAGTAGGTGAAGCATCCCCACGACTATGCCGGGATGGACGACTATTGGCTCGGGCGCGGGCGGGCTTAGATTCAAGGAGTTTATGATGCACCTCTTGCCGCTGCCGGGAGAATCGAAGGACTTTTGTTGCTGAAATCGATCGCGGTTAGATCGCGTGCAGGAATCGCGGCGAAATGCTGAAACGAACTCGCGGTGCGTACCTCCACGCTGTTTTGCTTGTGGCTCGGGGATCTTATTCCTACGTTAACTATGTTCGGCTTGTCGAAGGAGTCGAGCGCCACGTCGTAGAGCAGACGCAGCAGCAAGCACGCGTATCCCAACGTCTTTGGCATATCGTCCGGAAACACCGGTTCCAGCACGCTCCCGGTGAACAGCGATACCAGCATGTTGTGGTAATTCATGGTCGGTATCATGTCCATCTCGATAAGTTTCGTTTGCGTCGAGAAACAGCCGAGCAGGCGCAGGGTATCGCATAAACTGGACTGGCAGATCTGCGCCGGGGAGACCAACGTTATTTTCACAACGACTTGATATCAATTATCGCCGGCACATCGGTAACCCCTTTCCTACCTCGTGATGGAAGAATTTCGCGTTCGCCGGCTCAAATCGCATAGCCGTACTTATGGTATGAAACACTACGTATAACAATATCAGCAACTGGCTCTCGTCCTGCATAGTTCTCTGCACGATATCGTTGCAAGGCTCGGCGTTCTCCGACCTCTGCATGCCCAATTGACCCTCCAGGGACACCAAGACGGACATCACGTATACGAAGCCGCCCACTTTCCGAAACACCGTTCTGGTCCTGTGTGATTCACGTAGACAGGTTAACAGGGACTGAAAATGAAAATGGATCCGTTAATCGTGTCGCATCTCGGCGAGTCCGAGGAGAAACGTCTCAGTGGGAGGTTTACTTTTAATATATGCGTCTTTAAGATCAAGGCGTTGGGTGGGGCCGAATGCATTACTCCTAGCAGCGTCGCCATGTCGTCATCACCGCCCGCACTGAGTATCAGTTCTCTCACGATACCGAGCGCTTGGTACCGGCAATCCACGTAGGGCACTAGATTGTGAGCGCAACGCGCGCCCCCGCATTCCCTGAAGACGTTCGCATTTTGAACATTACTCGCTAACAGTGTTGTCAAAGCCTCCATCACTAAGGCACCCAACCGTTCATCCTCCGGGCATATTATGTACTCTGAAAGCACGCGAGGGTTCTCAGAACTTGTATTTGCGACACGACATGGGCGAATGATCTTATCGGCGCATTCTTTATCGAACGAATGGTAATCTCTTTAACGGGCTTTACCTAATCCTTGATCGATGGCGGCTTGCTTGTCCTTGAGTAATGTCGCGTAACGGTGGAGGCAAGTCACAAAAACCTCCAGCATACCGACTTCTCTGTAAACGTCTTTAAATATAGTGTTGTGTCTGAAACGGAATCACGGCGGTTAGAACGTAATGTGTGATCCCGGCTATTCGCACGAGCCTTCTTCCGTCTTGGGATGAAAGTCTCTCGGATCATCCTTTGGAGGGTTACCTGAGTATATTGAGAAGAGTCTCCATACACATTATACTGCAAGCGACTGAGTTGTTGGTCTTCAGTAAAATGGACAGGGATATGAGTTCCTTGCACGGTACAAAATTCAGTTGGAAAACAATGAATTCCAACAGCTGAAAGAATTTCTCCTGTATCTCCGGATTCTTCAGGTGGATCTTCTCAGCGAATTGCGACAAGGTGTTCTGTCCCTCGAGGATGAAGTAATTCGCGTTGTCGCTGTGATACACGCTGGATATAGCGTCCAGTATAGTGCAGCACAGAAGCGGTGAATTGGACTTCACGAATACCGACTGCAATACTTGGAACGCTTGAATGTTCCGGACGCTTCCTCCTGGTGGTAAAGTGTAAAAATACGTGATCAAGTACGTCCGATGTTGACGTACGATTCATTTCGCAGGACGTGTCTCTCTAGATTTAGAAATCACCTCTGTTGCTGGGCTGTGGCAAGGAGAATCCGAGCATTTGAAACAAAGATCCCATACTAGCTTGACTCGGTTTTAGCTCCGTATGGCCGCACATTGTCAAAGACGCTAACATTAGTACCAAATTTCGAATCGCATCTTGCGCTTCCGCTCTACCATCTTGCTCTAATCGCGAGGGCGCGTGTCTGTGTACAGAAACGGTTGGTTTGTCTCGCATACAGAAATAATAACCGTTCGCAAAAACCGTTTGCTTACTTTAACAGGAACTCAGACAAGAAGATGTAGCCTTGACAGGCGCGAAAGTCGTCTAGCAATGTCTGAGAAACCTCACTGGAATCTTTTAGAAAACAGAACACTGTCACGAACATTTCTACAACTTCTAATGGTGCCAGCTCAGGTACACGTTGCATATTATCGATACAGAGTGCTATGCATCCTTTATCTGGAAGATAAATGAAACGGTGTAGCCAGTACAAAAATGATCGTTCCGAGATCTGAGAAAGCACGAATTATTAACGAGAGTCCGATGAAACGTCGAAGCTCACTATGTATGTAGGCTACTACGTTCTGCGTAAGACCGTGACGGGACAACGTCATCAAAACTTCCGCGGCACTCTTACGCCACATAACATTATACTGCGGACACCAACTGGTTATTGCTGAGAACAATAAGGTGAGATCGTCCTTACGGGCAAGTTCTTCCGCGGGATACGGATGACTACACAATCTCACCAACAGCTGCAACGGAGAGAGCAAGTTGGTCGAAAGAGAGAGAGACGATTGAATATCTCGGTTGAGCGGGGGGAAAAGCCACTTCTCGAACGAGATCGTTACCTGAACAAATATTTTTTGTAATAGTATCCTACGTTCTCTAGGAGTAAATTCACTATTAGCGTCGGTAATATCAGCGTCCTCCTCGTTCATCTCGGGCAGATCGAAGAAGAGATACAAACATTTCACCAAAGTCGACGGAACCGAGGCAGCGGTCATGGCCTGAGAAAGACGAGCGGTGATGTACATACAAGGACCGGTGTGAATATTCATCGATTAGAAAGATCCGATATGTGTACTTGTATCAAAGAAGTATCACCCGCCGCCAGCAAGTTCAACGCGGACAACAACATCCAGCCGTTGCTCGACTCCTCGCTGTTCTCAATCTCCAAGAACTTCACGATGGCACAACTTGCCGTCTCGGTGCTCTGATTGCTCGCCCTCCTCCTGATTTCCGACACCATCAATCTCGAGACTTGTTGCGTGAATGCCAGAATGTCCCAGAACTTTTCGTTCATATCCCCCGATGGACTAGATCCGAATACCTGGAAGCACGGAATGTTCTCTTCGTGATTGTGATGAGGAACGGCACTACGGTAGGTGTAGAGAAAAAAATTCTCGCGAAATTCCACGGTCGGTTCTTTTAAACGCCGAAACGGAATTTTTACACCCTGTATCTGATCTCAAAATACCGCGGTTCGTATTTTATGCCAGACACGATATATTTTTCACGTAATATCATTTGCCTTGTAAAAATAGGAGAAGAAAATAAAATACATATGTTCTGCAGGAAAGGACAGGATTGTATAAAACGTGTGAGTACAAAATGATGTCAGATTACAAAAGGATGGATTGAAGAGTTAGGAAGCGGTAGCGAGGAAAAATGGAAAAGGATGTGGGAGTTGATGAGCTAAATCAGATTAAAGGTAATATTTTGAGGAAGTTTTGGAGGAAGAAAGACAAGAGGTTGAGAAAGAGGAGAAAGAGAAACAGGAATGAGAATTGATATATGAAGGATGTCGAAAGGTTGGATTAAGATGGAAGTATAAAGGAGTCAGTAACAATACAGTGATAGTAGATGTATAAGTTAGAATAAGGTAAATTGGATAATGTAATGACACTGTGATAAAATAGTTAATAGCATCAGATAGAAGAGTGGAAATTTAAATTGTGAAACTCAGCAGACTAACTGCTGCGATCTTGGGATAAGTATATAAGTAAGAAAGGGTTTAATATATTTTTGAAAGGTTTAATTTAAGGTCTGGACGGATGAGTGTTAAGAACTGTTTTCAAGCCCGTTCTTCTTCGCTGAACTACTGTACACTTATAGAACTTAAAAACAACCAGATATACCGTCGAGACTTGATGGAAGAAAGAGAAGAGAACTAGTACAAGTTAATACAGCCAGTTCAAATGGGAAACGGATCTTTTGCAAACCAGGCTTCCCTTCTTGGGGCATTGTAGCTAAAGTAACCAACGTCCATCTATCTGTTTACCTTGCAAAACAATGGCAACATGTTGTACAATTTGTCGTCACGTTCAGCATCAGAGAGAGGATGAGGTGGATGCGTGTACTCGGAGAACAGCTTCTTGAGGTGCATCAGCCCCAGAGCAGTGTGCTGAGGATTGGCGCCCCCGGCACAATCGTCCAGGCTGCCGGTGCCGCTTGAACCCATGCCTCCGACGCTGGTGCCCCCTCGTAATTTGCGCATTATGTTCATACTTAAGATTTGCTGAAAAAGTTTCGAGTTCATCCTTAACACACCTATGGCCTACTATCCCTTGAGCGTTCTTCCAGAGAACAACGGACAGTGTTTTCTACGATTAACTACGAAACGAAAAGAGAAATCGAGTCCCAAGTGGCATCGTGACGCAAAATCCGCGAAAAATCAACTGTTTATCAGCACTACGAACAACAACACACATGTCACTCAATTAACACTGAAACTACTGCCGCTGCTGCTGCTACTACTAATGTCACTACAAACAAGTATGAAAAGTAGCGATAATTAAGGTGCAGGAAATAATCACACTATACTATTTATCAACTGTCATATATGAGTGCTGCTGAGAGGGAGAGACGAAAAAAACAGGATGAACTAAACTGCCCAAGACAGCTGATCAATACACAAGCTGATCAATGTAGGAAGCTGATCGATATAAGAATACGTTATCTGAACGAGCGGATGAGGAAAACTCGTCGTCGTCGTCGCGTGCTCGGGCGAGGAACGACGCAAAAGAACGGGATACGCGCATACTACATAGGCGAAAGAGAGATTAAGGAGAGAAGGCGAGCGAGGATCAAACGGCGGGGAAGAGAGATGCAAGCGCGTATCGCTCGTCTTCAGGAGCGAGCAACTCTCGGATCGACATGCGGCGCGCACGCACGGTCGTCACAGCAGCGAGATACGTGGTCAGCGGTGCGGTCGGGAAGTACGGCTGGCGATAACGTGTTCCAATAATGTGACCGGGGGGTGGGAGGGGGAGGGGAGTTCTCGGGCACTTGTCTGGTGCTAACATTGCGAGTGTTAACATGTCAGGCTGCGTGGAGAGAGCGCGGTGAAAAATGGTTACACGCGCGAAACGACCGCTCCGGCATCGGACGGCTCCGCTGCTGCTGCGTCGTCGACGTCGACGTCCGGTCGTCGGAGCGTTCTCGGCCGATCTCGGCCGGCGGTCAGCGCGTACGGATCAATGACATCTCGCCGTTCATACGTCGAGCATCCGGCTCGATATTTACGTCCGCCCGCCCGCTCTCAAAACGTCAGGCCGACGACGAGGTGCCACACCACGGCGCGAATCGCCATACACACTCGTACACACACGCGTGTATGCATTCGTGCGTACACATACACACATACTCGACACACACACGCGCGCGCACCACACGTCACGAAACCGCCCACGAGCGTCGACTGCGGTTTAACGAGTGACAGGCGCGCGTCGCGTCGCCGCTCGTGGCTACGCGCTCGGAAATTACCTGGGACGCGTCTCCGGGCCGGGGAATTCTACATTTTCTGTCGGCAAATCGCTCTCGCCGCGAGAGACTTTAATATTTCAGTGATAGCGGCCATCTTCGTGTTTGACAGCTTACTTTCGGCGCACGTCCAACGCGATACGTCGATAAGGTGGTCACGTGACCGTCGGCCCCGCGGCTGCGCGACCGCCTAATAATTCGCACCGCACGGCTTTTAAAGGGACGTACTTTAAAGGGCGGATTCTTCTTCTCTCGGCTCTTCTCTCCGAACGCTGATAGAGGCGAGAAAGCAGCGGAAGGAACGATGATACCGCCTCGGTCTCGGGAAATTTCCCGAAGCTTGGAAAAATTCAATCTCTCGCGATCGTATCGCAAGGGGAAAATCAATTGAATCGAGAGCGTGGTAAAGTAAAAGCAGTCAGAGATAAGGCGAGAGGACGAGAATCGGTTAACGCAGAATTTTATTTACATTACATTCCGTGACTCCATTGGGAATTGACATGAACTGCAAATATGTTTACAACTATAAATAAAAGTTGCAGGGAGAGCGAGATTGAAGGTGCGTTTGTACGAGACTACTCTCTCTCTCTCTCTCTCTCTGTTCGATATTTACAACGTGCGCTGGAAAAACTCTGAGATTTTCCTTTGACCGGTCTTCCTCGTGGGCGATCGTAACGGGCGCGATTCCGGCAAACAGTCTTTTATGATTTTCGCGGATTCTTTGTCGCTCAATTCCCTCAACAACGACAATTCAGATTTGATCTTCTTCGACGCGTCCCGAGGATGCTGGATAATCGCCTCTCGCGAATTTAAGGAATTCACGTCGCCGCCCAAAGAATGTGATATCTTATCATCGATTGTTCTCATGGGCCATTGTTTCTCATTCGCGTCCGTTTCTCGCAGAGCGTTATCTGCGGAACGATTCTCGTACGCACCTCCGTTTCGCGAATTGTTTGCTATCTCCTTCGAGTTATCCTTCTCGTTGCCCAGACTTTCCGGCATCCCGGGTTTCTCGTTATCGTCATTGTCGTCGCTATCGCAACTCGTTAACCAATTCAATATTCTTTCCTCTTCTGCCACTTCCTCTTCCGGCGCCTTCGAATAAAGGAAATACCGCTTGTTCTCGACGTCTTTCCTCGACGCAGGCGAGTCTCGGTTGCTCTTCAGCGACATGTCCCTCGGACAAACGGCGAAGTGGTTCTTCGACGTGGAATTTTCGGTCTTCGTGAAATATTTACTCAAGGATTTCATCTTGCTCCGGTTATACAAGAAACGATAAAAATCCGAACGAGCGCTCGATGACGCGGAATCTCGATGATACTCCGACAACATTGAGAAGATCCGCGCTGCGGAAAGAGATGAAATTGATGGTGAAACATACGAACATAATCGAACTTCTCCTAATTACAAATTACTATAATTAGTTATTAACATTCTCACCTATGTCGACGTCATGTTGGATCAGATACGCGTACATCGTCGCCACCTCGTCCCTCAGATTCGTGTCTCCGAAAGTGAAGTACACCATAGACCGACCCGCGACCGCGGCTGCCATCAATTGTATCAACACCTTCAACTTCGGATTCCCGTGAAACGCCCCGCACCCCCAGTTCCCCGTGGCGATGGCCGACAGATTCTCCTTGTTGACGTCGGAGCCGACGAATCCGACGTACGCCTGAGACGTGGGAAACACATTTCCTCGCGTTAGAAGACCAATTCCAAAATAACGAAGAATAATGCGTTGCGAGAAATTGTTTTTTTTATCATCTTATCGCTGATTGTATTACGATATACATATCTAATCTAAATAAACCCAAATCCGTCGGACTACATATTTACATCGTAACTATACAGACCTTGTTAAGCTCACGAGTCACGTTGCTAATGTTGAACTGCAGTGAGGACTGTTTGAAATAAAGGGCGTCAATGGCAACGACTGACGTCATACGCCTGCCGCTACTGTCCCTCGGGGTCTCATCGACGAAATCCCCTTTCCACTTGAAGGTGCTACTGTAACCTTCGTATTTGCTGTAACGCTCGATACCACTGACGATAAGCGCCTCTGTATCGTCCAACTCTTCCGTAACCAGCATGGTGACCATAAGTTCCGGACATATGACGAACCGTATCTCTTCCTGTACGCAGCCTAAGCCTAGCACACCGCCACCGACGTACCTGTTTCAGTAAGAAATAAAATTAATTGGATACCAACCTCCTCTTATTGTATAAATTTGCCCTTTTTTTAATGTTTATCTACATAATTTTCCTTCTACAATTTATCATTTATATAATTAAATGTGATATGTAATACGTAATTAACATATAATAAATAAGCCGGTATGTAATTGAACAATAAATGCATATACATCTGAAAATAAAACACGAATACTCACTTATTCGCAAAGTCGACTTGGAGGAATCCGGCTCCTTCGTTTTCGATCGTACCTTTACTCGTTATATGCAACGATGGTAACTTCTTGACTAAAGAATGCCATTTCGGGCAATCTTCCGGGGGAATGTAACGTCGCTCGATCGTTATTACACCTTCAGGTACTGCTCTATGTAAAAATCGTAACGTAATTCGAGTTCCACGTCTGATCGCCAATGTTCGTGTGAACAAACTATACAGAGCTCTTACGCAAAAGTAAGAAGTGATTGTATTTGGAAGTTGTACCCACCCTTAGATGTTACTCTCCTGAAATAATGGAAGAGACATTTGATCTTCTCCATCACCGCAGTACATCGATTATGCTTCTCCTCGTTATAAGCGGCGAACAATCTGCAATATGCAATCAATACAGTGATTAGAAGTATACATATGTAAAATATATTCGCGAGAAGGATCCAAGAAGGATATTCCACCGAATAATCCGATGATATCGGACCGTTCGAATTGTTGTACCTGTTGAAATTAATATGAGGATACGATGCATATTCCGATTGCGGATTGCTGGAATTGCGTCTCGGGAACGTACAGAAAAATGCGTTCGCCAGCAGCGAAGCGACTTGCAATTGACTCAGGCTGATGCACCCATTGGTGTGGCGCTTCAACAGGGGAACCGCGCCGGTCAACAGCATAGGAAGCTGCAGAGCGAGCTGCACTATCTTTGGCATCAGAGTCTCGAAGAAGATAGTCGTTTCCTCTTCGTCCATTATCTACGCGCAAGATTGAGTGAATTAGAATCTTCGAATTTACCATCAACCAGCGTATCGTGTGTCGCGCGATATACCTCTGAGAAGAAATAATGGAGCGCCGCGAAATTCCAACGTTGCGCGTATATCTGATTGTACGAGAGTATAGCCTCTTCCAATTGCTGGCTGGAGAGTATGCTCCTGAGCAAGGCTTCTTGTATCATCTCCCACCTATTTCGGCAACAGCGACTACCATTTCTCTAAAAAGGAGATCTAATTAATATCAGAACAATTAACTGTGATGAAACAGAACACAGTATCAAGCGTTATGATATGCATATTGCTAATAAAAATCAAGTCTGTTGTATGATGACAGTATATATGGCTTCTTTTATTACAGAATAATGCGTACCTGTTCTATGGGATATAAACTGTGCGCTGAATGTGGCATTCGTACGTAACCCTGACTCCATTTATCCAACTGATGTGAAGGATACGGTCTTGGCGGCCCACGTGCAGGTAACGGTAACTAACTCGGAGAAAGGATCACAGAAATCAGATATTGATGTTTGTGTAAAATTTATATCTAGAAAAAACCGATGTTAGTGTTCAATTTTAAATCTGTACCGTGAACAATACTGTGTGATGAGGAGAAACAACAACCGGTGGGTGTTCCTGATGTTCATATACGCCAAGACCTTTGCGTATCTCATTCATGCTCATACCTTTCCATTCTGGTATATCATCCGAAGGCTCAGGCTCGTTAATACCAATAGACATGGAACTAGCTTTAAAAAATTGGACATTTGAAAATATTTAAAGTTCAAGATATGCATATATAAGAGGATTTCATGAATAATATATAAGTGAGTGTACTTATAATCCGTATATGTAATACCACTATATTGCCAGGTGAGAGAGAAGTCCTGTCTCGAAACTACGGTGCAGGAATATATATTTTCTTCTCTTTCTGAGTATATTGTGAACATAATACACATATGTTGAATTAACATCTCTGCCAATAGAAAAATAAAATATATTTCAGCATATGTATATCCATATATATATATAATTTGATAGCCATATCTGCACACTACTATCAAAATATACACATCTGACATTGTCTATCCTTTGCTTCTGAGATGAGCTTTCTCTTATAGACAGCATAGGACGACTGGCAATATAGTAGTATTATATGTCCAAGCCCCCCTACAAGGGATATAGCGTCAATGGAAGAAGAAGAAGACTTACAATCTGAGTTGACAACGTTGTTTATGCCTGTTGATAACTCTATATCTGAGAATAAATCCGCGGAGAGCTCCTCGTCAAACGTTATTTCTGACTCCGACATCTTCTTTTTCGTGTGTGTCACTGTAAAATGCGCACAATACAACTTAAAGTCCAAAGAGTTGATAATGTTTGTCACTCACCCGTGAGAAGAGTAAATTACGATATCGAAACGACGCGTAGCATTTTAGCAAACATCACCGGAGCACAACTGGATATAAAGCACCTCACGATAAATTATTATAACGATAGATTTATCAACAATTTCTAGCTTTGTTTATCAGAACCGTAACCTACACATGAATTCATATTTTGTAACGCTACTATAGGTAGCGTTACGAAACACATTTGCATGACTGTTTGACACTGGACGCTTTTATTGGCTACACATCATCTTGAAATATTATCTAATGCAAATATCTTATGATAATATATAGCCAATGAACGGCTGTGTGTCAGCACAAGAGGTGTAAATGGAAAATACCCCTTGATTAGCCATATTGGGTCTATTCTTTTTAGTTGGATTGTCTATACTATTTCAATAATGTGCGACATTGAAACGTGAGAATTTCATAAAAGTACGTTTCAATGTGTATGTAAATTTTTTGAACTAGTGCAACCAGTTCTGCTAAAAAGAACAGACCTATTGTGATAGCAACATGGCGAGTGATCAATCGGAAGGAGGTGAGGTCAATCACGCATGGTTAGGTGGGATATAATCAGAATTATTGACGAAAATTTATTGTTCCAAATTGATTAAGGATGGTTGCGAAACGTTCGTTTGATCAATTACAGTTTGTAGGTAATAATAAAACGTCGATAAGTTGGCACCATATATATTTTATATACATACACACACAATTTCATCACGTGCATACACTCTCACAAAATTTCAAATTGTAACACTCTTAAAAACATTAATAACATGAACCATTTGTTATATTCTATAATGATCTGTTTATTACCGAGGTATTAGATTGCGCAGATAACTCAGTATTTCTTCCGTATCTTTTGTTAAAATTGCTTGCCTAGGATATTTAAAGCAGTTTCCTGACAACGATAGATTTCTAGAAAAATATTCTAATATTATTCCAATATTAAAAATAAAAACGACACAGTTGATGCATTTCATTCTAAACTACTAATAGTGGGTCAAACAAAAAGTTCGTTCCGATTCTTGTGTCAAATTTGATCTTATTGTATTTAATAGAAGCAGATAGGAACATTCAATATAAAGCATCGAATATTTAATGGGTGCCTTCATCAATCAAGTAATTCCCCTCGTTGTCTATGATCTTTTGACAACGTTCTGGCAGCATTTGTATACCTCTATAGTAGAAAGTAGTTGTTTCATTGTCAAAGAAGACAGAAATGTAATTGTCAAGAGCCTCAAAAGACGCAAACTCCTTCCCGTTTAAATTATTCTGTAATGATGGGAACAAGTAGTAATCAGATGGTGCGATGTCTGGAGAATATGAAGGATGCAAGAGGATATCCCAATTCAATTGCCTGAGCTTGTGCGCAATCTGCATTGAAGTGTCAGGTCTGTTGTTATCATAATGGAAGAGCACGCCGTCCCAATTAGCCAAGACAGGTCGCTTTTCCTGGATTGCGGCCTGTAATTTGCCCAATTGTTCACAATACTTGTCACAATTCATTGTTTCGCCAACAGGAAGCAGCTCATAAAAGATCACGCCTTTGCAATCCCACCATACTGTCAATATTGCTTTTCCAGGTGGAAATTCGGTTTGTATCACTGATTGACCAGGTTCATTCGATTGCTCCCACGTCCGTTTTAGTTGGATGGTATTGTAAGTGATGCAAGTTACATCACCTGTTACCAGTCGGTCCAAAACTGGATCCTTAGTCAATCGTCCAAGCAAAGAATTGGCTACGAAGACACGGTCCAATTTGTTCTTCTCTGAGAGTTCACGTGGCACCCAAACACCGAACTTCAAGATGTAGCCAAGCTTTTTTAAATGGCTAAGCACACTTCCATATGTAATGTTTAACTTCTGCGCAATTTCTGTAGTAGGAATTCTCGAATTTGAAGTGATTAAATTGATGGTTAAGTTATTATCCACTTTCAATGGGCGTCCGGAACATGTCTTGTCTTCTAAGTTAAAATCACCACGTCTAAAGTGCGTAAACCATTTTCCAACTGTTTTGGCACTCACCGCAGTTTCTCCGTAAACCTTACAAATGTTTTCCGTGGTAGCAGAAACTTTCGCACCTTCCCTAAACTTAAATAACATAATATGGCGAACATGCAAACTATCGGCACTCATCTTCAATTAATAAATATGAATTGTAAGTAAAATATAAATGTACTAATGCAGAGTCGACAACGGACACTACTTTCAGGTTAGCTTTCCGAGTCGCCTACTATTCCCCTCTTTGTCGCTCTGCAAAAGAATGACTAAAACACTTATTCTCTTATTGAACGCGGGATGCATTCCGGAGCTTGTGGAAAAATATTGCAACCGTCCTGTGATTGACTATATACGTGGCTTCTCTTTAGTATGTGTACTATTTGCAACCAACTTGAGGTCTGGGCCATGTATCTCCTCTTTTACATCTATATAGTGAACGCCCATCATCCCCTCCTTTCCTGCGATACGTCAAGAAAGGCGCTCTCTGCCACATCAAAACTATATGTGGAATGATACGACTGTACGAAAAATTTATAAATATATCCATGATATAATACATAATTANTATATATATATATATATATATAAGTTTCTCAGACAATTTATTATTATTAGTATTAGTCAGCACATATCTTTGATGTGGAAGAAAGTCTGATCCGATTGTATTTATGGTTTGGTCGCCCCTGGCGCAGAGCGTTACAGGCAGCAAGAAAAAGATAAAAAATCTGGTCGAAAGTTACATCTGATATCGAGTTCTATACCAAAATCATGCGCACATGATAACTTAAGTTGTCACCTTTGCAACGATGTATAACACATAGACGTTATCAGCATTGTTGCTTGTATTACACATATATGTCGCCACCATTAAAAGTCTGAACGAACATTTTGACTGACCCAATATTTACGTCAAAGTTAACGAACGCAAGGAAGATTATGTGGAATGTACCTAGAAAAATCATTTACCTTAGATTTTTCAAGTTACCAAGTTCAGGTGGCACATGAGCAATATTATTGTTAGCTAGATTTAAAATTGCTAGTCTTTTCAGCTTTCCTAAAGATGGCATGTCGATCTCACCGATTAAATTGTCATTGGCAGTTAAACCTTCCAAAGACACAACATCATAAATAGCTTCTGGTAGCTTTGTAAATCTGTGGAAAAGGTTATCATGCAGACACAAGCATAACGAGAAGAGAAATATCGCAGATGAGTTACCAGAGATTTCCACGAACATAACATTTCAATGTCATAATACCTGTTAAACGAGAGATCGATATCTCGCAAGTATTTCAGGCAACTAATACTCGGAGGTAAGGATTCCAGGTAGTTTTTACTTATGTCTAAGGCCTGCAGGTATTTGTACTTTTCGCCTGTCCACTCGGGCAGACGCGTCAGGTGATTCGAAGTTAACTTCAGATCGGTCACCGTAACAATTTGAGCCATCTCGTCAGGTAGTTCGGACAGTTTGTTCCTACTTAAATCGACGACCGTGACCGAGGCTCCCGCCGCGTCTGCCAAAACCTCATCCGGCAATTCCACAAGATACTGCCCAGCCAAGCTGAGCAGTTTTGTACTCTTCATCGTGTACCTGAATTGTCATACACACAGCAAGTGTCTGTGTCAGATTTGATCGGTAACTGAGAATGGAGCGACTCGATGCCGATGTTCACATACTTATCGGGATATTTGCTTATGCTGGCACCGCATGGTAACAAGTCTCTGGCATTTACATTTGTACTGTCCGTGGTTTGGCGTATGTGCGTCAAGATACGCGGTGTGCCACATCGTATGATGTCTCCCCTGATATTTTTTATATCGTTGTCCTTGATCACAAACTGCTTCAGGTTTGGCAAGATACCGATGCAAGAGGGTATCCTGTAAGAGCGACTCGGTGCAATGGATGATAACAGCGAGTAAAACAGTGCAAAATGAAAGAGAGAGAGAGAGAGAGAGAGAGAGAGAGAGAGAGAGAGAGAGAGAGAGAGAGCTCACACGACGTACAGAGACAGATTATTGTGCGACAAATCGAAGACCTCCAAATGGATCAGTTTGATTATTTCCTCGGGTATCACCTCGATTTGATTGTTTTGCAACGTGAGCTTCCTCAGACAACCGACTCCGTCCAGGTATTGCGGATCGATTCCCTGCGAAACGAAAAATCACAGAACACTCGATGAAACCAAATCTTCCTCTCCGCAGAGGATCGGATAGTCAGTCGCGATCATTTCGAGTGTAGATTAACGCATTAACACATACAGGAATGTTATTGTTATCCAAATGCAATACTGTCAAAGCGGAACAACCTGATATGTCCGGGAATCCCTTCAAATTGTTCGACTGGAACATTATTCTCTCTACTTTTCGCAATTCACCCAACGGCGGTATTGTCTCCAGCTGGTTAAAGCTGACGTCTAACGTCTTTAGCGCTGTTCGTGCATCGAAAGTGCAGTAATAATTACCCGACAACAGAAGGAAAAACATTTGCAAAGTATACGAATAGTCCTTCTTGTTCAATTGGTAAATCATCGGTGCGTTTATATGCGGAAACTTACATCTCATGCTCGTCATATCCGGCGGCAATTCTTTGATCATATTGTGACACAAGTTCAACGTGACCAACCGCACCATGTATCCCATTCCAATTGGCAGATCGCTCAAATTATTGTGTGACAAATCCTACGAGATGGAGGATAACTATAAAATTATCGATTCGAGAGATTGGAGAACAACTGGATGGACAATTCGCAACATATATGTCGTAACATTACTACCAAGTACGTTAGCATAATCAGATTTCCAATCTCCGACTCTAATATATTGATATGATTATTTTTCAAGTGCAATTCACACAGTTCCGTCAACGTGTAAAATTTCGGGGGCAAGCTTGCCAGTTTGTTGTCCGACAAATTCAACAGCTTCAGTTCGCGCAAAAACCCGATCGCAGCTGGCAGTTCCTCCAGTAAGTTGTTATGTATCTAACAGTGATATCTTGATTAATGTTTATGATAAAACGGAGCTGTTATAGTAGACATAATTGTACGTACATCCAATGTACTGAGCTCTGTCAGAAATCGTATTCTACTATCGATGGTAGTCAAGCTGTTGGAGCTCAGATCTAAGACTCTCAATGGTTCTTGTTCCCACCATCGTTCCTCTTTGTGCTCGTAATCGAGCTCGAAGTGCAAATTGCGTAACTCCTCTTCCGTCAATTCGTTTATCCTCCACACTCGGTCTGGTACTGCAATTTATGTCACTCGGTTGATTTCCTAAATTCAACATTCCCTCTTTTTCTTCTTGTATTTCAATGTTATCTCGTTAGATTCAGATTGAGGACACTTAGATCGACTTACCTCGTACTGCAAATTGATTTATTTGTAAGTTACAACGAGTTTACCTGATGATGTATGTGATCACCTCTCTTACTTTTTAGCAAAGCGTGCAAAGCAACTCAAGGCGATGGTTTTCCACACGATACCAAGCGCATGTTTCATTTACAATTAGAAACTACCTCTGTATCGCATGTATCGTGAAGCACCGTTATTGTATATTCCGAACTGGATAATGGAGATTAAACCAGCACACTTGATGCAATCACACGTCTACATATGGTTGATAATTTTGAATTTTGTTGTATCTCAGATACAAATCAATAGTACACGTAATTTATATACATAAAAAAAGAAACACAAATTGCATAAATTAAAACTAAATTTATTTCAGACCTTCACATATCACCGAGCTTACAATGTTCACCCGAATTACCTAAATATCAATATATGTAATACATATGTGTCGAATAAATGCCAATTTTACGTAATATTAATTAGTCAATCATTTAGTAGCAATAGTAACGGTAACATTAATTACAAATTCTGATATCTTGTATATCTTCATTCCGAAGGTGGTCTTGTGATACGATGAGAGCACGAACAGAGTAATATTACGCATATCTCACATTTCTTTGCAATCTTGGAAGGTAAACTCGATAGTACAACATAGATGCTATATGTGTACAAGTAAAATATCTGTGCGACAATTAACATCCAAGTAATATTCACAAACAACATTGAGAAAAACAAAAGATTTGCATACTGATGTTTTCACGGGACGTCGATGAGATCACCTACAACAGTTCTCCGAATATGGATATGTAAATAAAATACGTAATATTACCACAAGCATGCCCATTCGATCGAAGAATGCGACCTCGTTCGCAAACGTAAAACGGAACATGCTCAAAATAATGCGGCACATGAACAAAACGAACGGATATTTCATGAATACGTAATAAAATATGTAAAAATGCTAAATGACCGAGTATTGTCACTATGCTCATAATATCGAGATGTGTGCATAGATTGTGTTTGTACAAATACCCGAGGCCAGTCCTCTCGACGAGAGATTCAACCGTCCGTTCTTTCTCGCCGACACGATCGAGCTTTTCGACAGCTCGGCATCGTCGTCGTTCTTCGTGCGCTGTTTAAACACCGCCAAGTGGTTGATCTTCTTTTTGACGCCGCTCATATTAATGACGACGTCTCAACCTCGGTCACAATATGACCATACGCAGTACCGACGACATATAATATATATATAGACATCACTTCCTTACATATATGTATATATATATATTTCGTATATGTGGTTGCACGGAGAATTGCGGACGCGTATACTATTGAAGTGCCACCAGAGAATGTAGGCAAAACGTACCGAATTGCAAAGAACGCAGCTAAAAAGAACAGACCCGAAAAAGAACTTGGTTCTTGTTTTGACGGTTCGAGTAACAGAACGATAGGTTAAATTAAAATGCCGGTCGACCAGAAACGCATCAACGGGCCGGAGTCTTCCGTTCCGTACGATATTTACATTCATTCCGAATTGAAGGACAATGAAGTACAAAATGACGCATTGAAAAGGCACGACGGTCGCTCAAACAACGAGCTTAGAAATATATGTAAGGATAAAGTTGAGGTTATGTTTACTAAGCGTGCTCTATAAAGTTGAATTTCAAGACTATATATATATATATATATCTTTTCGTGTTTCCGGAGAGGGAAATATTTAAGATATTTTGTCGGCAGTTTTAAGGACAGGTATTGTTAGTCAAGCCAAAGGCTCTGCTTATATCGAGATGGGCGATACAAAAGTCATCTGCTCGGTGTTTGATCCCAGAGAGGTACCAAATAAAACCGGCTACTGCGTGCAAGGTGAGCTGTACTGCGAATTCAAATTCGCGTCCTTCTCTCATCGCAAACGGAAGATGCATCAGCAGGACACCGAGGAGAAAGAGTACAGTTTAGTACTGCAAAGGGCTCTGGAGCCAGCAGTGTGTTTAGTACGTATTTCGTGATACTCTTTCTCCTTAGAGACTTTTTAAGTGTTTCTGAGAAACAACGCGTGAAACACAATTGTATAATTATTTTTCAGAACGAGTTTCCTAACTTCCAAGTGGACATTTATGCAACAGTCTTAGATAATGGTGGATCGGCCCTTGCTGCTGCGATCATGGCAGCTAGTTTAGCCTTAGCAAATGCGGGTGTGCCGATGTACGGCTTGGTCACAGCATCCACCATTGTAAGTACTGATGCAGACTGTGGATGTTAATGAATAAATAAAATTATGTGACGTAACGAATTTCAATTATTCAATAGGCAGTACACAATGGTATGTACTTGGTGGATCCGACAGATAAAGAAGAAAGCTTCTGTTGCTCCAATTCCGAGCCAGGCGGAAATTGCGATCATGGGATCATCGTGCAAGCGGCCCTTCCGCAGCACGGTCAGATCTCTGAAATGTTTGCTGTAGGAAGCTTCGATACGGATACGATTGTACATTCCATGGATCTCTTGAGCACAGCTTATAAAGACATACGTCCCTTATTGGAACAGTGTCTCGTGAAAACTATATTTAAGGTATTCCGCTCACCGCAGAAAAATAAGAAATGAGAGTACAGCATATTTGTTGAATTCCTTTGTGTATAAAATTGTTAATAAAATATCTAATAACGGGTACTCTTGATTTTTTTACGATCACTAAGCTCGTGACTTTTACTGGTTTTCGCGTTTTCACTACGAGCCATCCACAGAATTTTCAGTAACACGAATCAATGGCTACGTTCAATAGAACGTCTACTTAGTGACTGCTCGAAATTTTTTGAACTGAGATTGGATTATTTTTTTAGATTAAATTTAAATATGTGTACCAATTAGAATTTTCTTCTATTTTAAGCGTCGAAAAGAATTTGAAAAGCGAGTACAATGTAGATTTCAACGAATCACGCACATTTTCGACTCAAGGAGAATTCACACCTTGACAAAACCTTTGTACGTGTTATTTTTATAAAGAAAAAATGTGAAATTAAATTTCTAAACCTCTTGAAGCTTTAACTAGTTTTATAACAACGTAATACGCATCAAATTTTTTTCGCTACAACATTAAATGACTTGAAAGAAAATTGCACTACAATGTATACGGGTGTGCAAATAAGAAGAAAATAAAAAGACACGCTTGATACGCTTTATTTCTTTGAAAGGCCGAGTTAATAGATTAGAATTTTAATCTGTGCGGGTATTGACTGCTTCGCAGTCCGAACATCGCAGAGAGATAAGTGAACAACATCTTCTTATCCTTATGTTTCTTGATAGTATCGATGATTACTTTGTCCACCAATTTTTGATCGCTTTTCCTCGCGTCACTCGGCGTATATTCCTCCTTCTTCTTGCTAAAGATATCTCCCTCTTCCTTCTTGGCGCGTTTGTCGCGCTTCCTCTTGAAGTATTCGTCTCTTATGTGCTGCGGCAATACAAAGTCCTGGAGAGGCAGCTTCGTGGTCGTGGCGATCACATAATTCTGACTCACTCTTCGTAAGGGACAGCCGTTGATCAAGAACGGTCCTGTTGTACAAATTCACAACAATATAATTAATTTAAGCCGATATCATAAGTATCAACGACATCAACAAGTTACTGCGACTCGATGCGTAGTCTCGTGTTAAATGAAAAAACATCCAGTAAAAAAAGTAATACAATTAAGATAAAAATTAAGAAAGAAATAAAAAAAGGAAAGTGACAGTTTCACAGTTGTATCTCACGATGTAATAGTAATGTAAATACGTACCAGTAACCAAGAGCAATCCACTCTTCAGTTGTTTGAGGAAAACAACCCTCTTGCCCTTATGAGGGCCAGCCAACATGATGCAGATGGTTCCCGGTGTAAGTGAAGGCCGCAGGTAACGACGGTGTTCATGGAAGCATTTCTTAGCGTGGTGCACAGTGACCGGGTCTGCGGTGGGATAATTCGCGCGTCTCTTCTTCAAAAGTACGATACGTTTCTCGCCGTTCTTGTCGCCACCGATCTGCTTCTCGATGGTCAACGGTTTCTTCGGCTTGACCTGTAATAAGATATACATTCATTGACATATGAATTTCAACCAGAACGAGGAAGCCTCAGCAAAGCTGTCACTTGCGTCTTGTTGTTTCACAAATTAGAGCACGCGAGAGTTACTTGTGATACATCAATTGTATCAAGATTATCGCATATATCGATTAAAATATCGGCATTATATCACGGTAGAATTGAAAAAAAAATGACACAGTACTCTAACGTGAACTCACCTTCTTCGGAGTCTTCTTATCGAGGAACTTGTAGATCGCCTTCTTGTGGTACATACGCGTGCGACTGAATCTGTACACGCCATTACCCAGGTCATAGTTCCTGGGCTTCGACGACCTCTTCTTCTTTCCCTCGGCGGCGGCAGCCGCGGGTGCCGCAGCGGCCTTTTTCTCCGGAGTTTTCGCCTTCGTGTCCGCCATCTGCAAGAGTAAACGGTCAGAGGTTATATGGTTTGCGCTTCTCCGAATATACAACATGAAAGCCGTGTGCAAGCCGAGACGCGAGTGTGCGCGACCCGTTGAAAATCAACATCGTACTCGCTTACTCGGATTCTTCTTTCCGACGTTTGAAATAGAAAAGAAAATTCGAATTTTTAACCCGGAACGTCGCACGCGAGCCGCACGATGAACACGTGACAAAAACCGAGAAGCAGCGTTCGCTGTCGCAAAAATACGGTGTTACACGTACGGCTCGAGGCGAGCTGCGCGATATTAGTCCGCAAAATTCAACAATTCGTCGTCAATAACAATCGGATTTCTTCGATTATGCTGGATTACTCGATGTACAACCGAACTCACCGTAATACAAACGACTGAAAGAACGTGAAGCAGGAAACCAGAGAAGAGATTCGGAGCGGGACGGTTTCCCGTGTGCGAAGCGCAGTTGTGCGACGTAAACCGTGAATTACGTAGGCGATGTTCACGTTCACTCTTCGGTCGGTAAGCCGGTAACGATTTTCGGTTCCGTTCCGCGCTGCGTTGCGTTATCAGCCGGCCCGTGTTAGGTTGCAGCAATATGTCCGATAAAGCGATCTTATGCAACATTGCGATTGCATAGTCATTAGCTTATCAGACTCGACCTTCCACCTTGTGGAATTTTACTTTTATTTTTTAATGCGATTCGCACTGTCGCGTACAATAGTAGTTTATCGCGCTGACATTTCCCCTTTGTCCCTACGAGCGTTTGTTTACAACTTCACGCGTAATTCGTTCCGTACATTCATGAGCGTCACCGCACTCGCCGGTTCTCGAAGGTAACGCGATCCCTCCCGTCTTTCTGTCATTTTGTCTAGTTTTCTGTGAGGTATGTCTCCTCCTTCCGTATCAAGGATATTTCACGAGACGAGGAATCTCTTACTGTCATTCATTCGAACGTTTCCAATACACACGTATCCACGTAAGCGCGGAGGAAATCATTAGTATTCTCTTGATTTGTAAATGTTAATTTTACACGCTGCTCCCTTTTTTATTGGCGTACGTGTGTGTATGTGTGCGTATGCTAATGTCTCGTAGCAACGGACGTGTCACCCGAGTTAGTAAATTTCAGTGCCTCCACGTCTGCCTGGGAAAATGGAGCGGAGCACGGTGTTCGTGGACATGCTGGTGGAGAGACGGAAGGACTGCGATATCTCGTGGGCGACGCGACCCATGGATCCGCTGCTACCGCATAAACTGCCACCGGAGTCGAAATACAGCAGAGAAGAGACGATCGAGCGCATCTTGTCCGATGCACGAGTGAGGTGTACGATCGAGAAGTTAGCAGCTACGAACGGCATCGGTACCAAGGATATCGAGAAGAACGCGCGCGCTATATTGAATGAGATGGCCAGCAAAGAGGACTTGGCGACGGTTCGTTGGCTAGGTAAAGTATATGCACTTACAATTTGTCGCATAAATTTATCATCGATAATACATCCATTTGTTTTGCATCCAATTTCGCATCTTACATATACTCGCATTCAAATTCCAGGCATTTTCATAACAAAAGCCATGAAGAGGATGTTCGCCAAGATCTACGTGAACGAGCGCAGGCTCTTCGGCCTGAAGCGAGAGATGCAAATGTCGCAGGTGCAGTACATCTACGTGCCGAGTCACAGGAGTTACTTGGACTTCATATTGCTGTCGTACGTTCTCTTTTCCTACGACATGGCATTACCGAATATTGCCGCCGGCGTCGATTTTTACAAGATGAAAATAGTAGGCGAGTTAATGCGGAAGACCGGGGCGTTTTACATGCGACGTAGCTTCTCCGACGATCTGCTCTACAAGGAGATCTTCCGCTCGTACGTCAGCAGCATCGTCAGCCACAGCGGCAGGGCGATCGAGTTCTTCATCGAGGGCACCCGCAGCCGCAGTCAGAAGAGCATAACGCCGAAATACGGTGAGCCACTCGACACCGACGTCACCGTATATATGTAGTCGACCGGCTGTATCGCACGAGTCGCTCTTTCGCAGGCCTGCTGTCCATGATCCTGGAGAGTCTGCTTCAAAGCGACGTGCCCGACATACAGTTCATACCGATAAGCGTCAGCTACGAGCGGCCGCCGGAGGAGTTGCTGTTCGTTTACGAGCTGCTGGGTATCCCGAAGCCGAAGGAAACCACGGCCGGGCTTCTTCGCTCTCTCTCCATACTGCAGAAGCCCTTCTCGCACGGCCGCATCTTCTTCAACATCTGCGAGCCGATCTCCGCCCGTCGCTACGTGGACGTGTCGCTTCGCAGGGCGCGCGTTTTGTCGCCCTACGTCAAACTGCCTACGTCGATCTCGGAGACCATGGCTTACCTCATAATAGACGAGCACAAGAAGAACACCGTGCTGATGCCGATCAATATCGTCGCCTTGCTGCTCAACGAGAGAATCCAGACGCGACCGACGGAGCCGCTGTACACGCTCCACTCGTTGGCCAGGGACTACCGCTGGTTCAAGAACTTCATCGCCAAGGCCTTGGCCGTGCCGGTGCATCCCGAGATCGGAACGTGAGTGTTCACCTCACGCGATTCTTAACTTTTCTTTCCCGCGACAAATTGTACGATCCGCTCGTTGCTGCAGTGACGGCAACGAGGAGAACGTCGAGCAAGAGATACTGGAGTCTCTGAGACCACACGACGAATTGATCGCGTTCGATTCGTCGAACACGTTGCGGCTTAAGCAGAGGCACCGAGCGAGCAAACAACCGACGAGCGCATCCAAGGTCAAGGGACACTTCCTGTCGGAGCGCACCATGTTGGTGGCCGTACCCGCCATTAATATTGCGATTTACGTCAACCCGGTCTTTGCTTTCCTGGCGAAGGCAACTCTGATTACCGTGACGATAGGAGAGCGTGGAACACCGACCGGTAATGATCGCACGCATTGTTCCCGTATCCCGGAAGGAACGAGGACGTTTATTTTTACGGTTCTTCCTCCTCCTCGTCCAAAGTATAAGATATACCGGGATCTTCGAGCGGCAAAGATCAATTATTCGTTTGCCGTGCGAATAGGATGCCTTACATTGATAACAAGTCATTCATTATACATTGTTGACAAAATACATATTTATAAGGGAAATAAAAACAAGAAAATCGCGGGAAATTAATGCGACGGCCGACGTGTCAATAAGCGAGAGAGAAGCGCGTGAACTCTTGAAAGAATCTCATGTGTTTTATTCACGCTCGCAGGAAAAGCTTTGGAACGATACCGATTACTTAGGACGCTGCTCAGCACCGAATTCGCGTTTCGCCCGATCGCGGACCGAGATCTCGTCGAGGCGGAGTGGAGAGAATCGTTGGACATGCTACTGTCGGAGAATTGTCTGCGTCGCGCGCAGGACGATTCGATTTTCCCGGGAGAAAACGAGAAACTGTTCTCAATCCTGCACAACATAGCGCTGCCTTTCGTGGACGTCATGTGTGCGATGTGCGCCGTACTTGAGGTAAGAATTTCAAGATGAACGTTTCAAGATTCCTTGACGTCAATAGGAGGAAAAAAGGACCATTAAGAGCCATCAAGAGCACGGGTCGTCTAGTGCTATTAAACGAGAAAATTATGTCAGATGTAACATTCATTACTAAGAACTCTGCTAAAAATAGTCACATAATTCATTTTTGACTGGGTAACTATTTTTATAATAAAGTTTTTAATAGTAAATATTACATGTAACATAATTTTCTCATTTAATGACGCTAAACGATTCGTGTTCTAGCTCTTAATGGCCCCCTTTTCTTCTTAAGAATTTCAAGTCTTAATTCGGAAGTTAACGCGTTCGCTATTGTGGTTTACTTCGAAAACTCTTCCCACAGACTACATTGCATTTGTCTCTATTTAATTATTGTTAAATTAGTATTAATTATTATTAAACAGACTCATAACGAATTCGATCACCCGCATTAGTGTAACAGAAGCACTTTGACGATGGAATGATTAATGTATATTCTACTGAATAATACGACAATAACATTATTCAGTGTTTAATCGTTCAAAGTGTCCGTATGCTTTTTTTATTTAAATACAATTTCATATATAGCAGCTTTCAGAATACACACATAGTGTGGATTATCGAACTCGTTGTTACTTTGTTTTTATGTGGATGTAGCAAAATAATTATCATTGTTACACACACATACACACACACACGCGCGCGCGCGCGTGACGTTGCTAGCGTGTGTCGTGTCGGAAGTCTTTTCCCACGGAATACGCATTTCCTCCAGCGTATTTCTACTTGAAGAGAGATCTCTGTTCATATCAACACTTGTTCAGTGTTTATGGGAAGAGACTTTTTAATCAACCTGTATAACCGCGAGTCTACGGTGATTGACGATGTATCCTTGCGCGAAATTCTCCTTAGCGGGGTGAGGTAGTGTCGAGCGGACTCACGAATCGCGCGATACTCGTCGAGATGCAGAAGGAGGTGGAGAAATTGATGCTGGCCGGCGACCCCTGCTGTCAACACCCGTACTGTTTGTCCCTCGACCTGTACAGCACGACGTTGTCCACACTGCTGTCGCAAGGCGTCGTCGAGAAGTGTCCGGAACGCGGTACGTACCAGGTGAATGAAAGTAACCTGGTGAATCTCATCGGCGCGTTGCGCGATTTACCGATGCGACGCCCCACGGTGCGTTACATCGATACACTTCTTTCGATCATTTCGCCGTCGACGGAGGTGCAAGCTAAATTATAGACGGCGGCTCACGCCGCGCGAAATGCGTATTATTGGTATCTGCGTGTATGTGTGATCGAATGACGGGATATGCGTGACGAATAATGGGAACGCTAATCGACACTACTTACACTTTCAGTGGATTGATTTAATTTCTAATGTTTAAAGGTTTAATGTGTAAAGGTCAACATTTACTTAATTCGTTAATCGGCTTAACTAATTTAAACCGGCTTATTAAGTTAGTTTCTAATTGGTTATTGTTTGAATTAAAAATCTACTTAATCGATTTGGATTTGTTTTGAAATGATCTATTCTGACGAAGCAGATTCTTCAGAAAGTTCAGATTCGAACATGGTGGAACGTCGTCGTTGACAGGCGGAGCCAAGGGCTAATCGTGGCGACACGTCGCGGGAGGGACGCCGTTACTAGCGAGAAATAACTTGCGAAAATATCTATTTGAAGACGCACGCACTGAAGAGCGAAGAATGCACAACGATTAGCCCCTGGTTTCGCCCACTCGCAATTCTATCGTCGTCCACCGAGATACCCGATATCGGTGTCTATCGCGGGAACGACCTAAAAATTGGAGACGAAACTGTTCAAATTGCCGAGTATCCTGGCGGTGTCGTCGTCGAAGTCCGCCGTGAATCTCTTCCTTCTGCCGAGGAGCAGCGTAGCCGCGGTCGTGGTGGTCATCGGGTTGGTTATATTTCGGAAGAGAAGCTGCGAAGGAGAATTGGATGTCCTCCTTTAGATAACGCCGCCCAAAGTGAGAAAGTTCGCGACGCGCGTAATTCTCGACGGCACTCAAAATCCGTGTCAGACTGTCCCGGATGTCCCGTAATAGTCATTACTCGAAACTCGTTTTAAGTGGGATATTTCGAATACTTCAATTCAAGTAACGATTGTTGGGGATTGAGGATTGCAGATTGGTGAGAGTCTGACGAGTTGACTGACTGCGATATCGTTTCTTTGTGTCCCCATTGATCAAGTTTAGATCTCTTCAATCCGCAATCCTCGATCTCCACTGCAGGATGATCTAGGATGCAGTGCCGTTAGACGTTTCATAGGCTTCTGAGGTGTTTCACTTACCATAACCAGCCGCACGAGATAGACCGCGAACGTGAGGAACGATATAGCCATGAGCGCGCCTTCTATCGACGGGAACCCCACGGAGTGATCCTCGTGATCGTCGTAATGTCCATGGTAATGCGCGCCCCTCGTCCTTCGTCTCGGCGCCATGGCCGTGGCGAGGCGCGATTCTAAATGTGAGTAAACAAACAAAGTGAGAAATGATGAGAAAGCGAATACGCTCGTGACGGAGTAAGAGTGTAAGTTACACGATCGTTACACATCGCACTCTGAGTCAGCGGCCCTGTGACTCTTTCCTAAAATCGAAAACGCGAAGAGTTTCATCACGACGACTTCAGCGACCGTGTAACTTGGAAATTTAAGATTGCCCGCGAAACTTTTCACTTTTCCGTTTCTTAGGGCAGTATTCATAGTAAGGCCTTATACTTCGAGATCGTCTCGAGTCCATCTTCAGATACTGTGCAGATCACTTCATTGGCTACAAAGCATCTGAAGATGAACTTGAGACGATCTCAAGTGTAAGATGTTATTATAAGCATTAGCCTTACAGCTAAGTTACACACGATCGCCATCCTGGAGATCGTGAATCTTTTCTCCCGACGTAAACTCGTAAACGATTCAAGTATCCAATTTCTTTCAAGTTCCTCAAGTTGGAACGTTTTCATTTCTCACGAGTTTACGGCCAGAGGGAAAGATTCACAATCGATCCCAGCCTGCCCAGAGAACGTGTGTGTGTGTGTGTGTGTGTGTGAAAGTTGTACCTATCTCCGACATGAGCGTCTTCTCGAACGTCTTGAGGAAGTGGATCTTCCCCTCGAGCGACACCGGCTGCGACTGTAGAGTACGGTGGACGCTCTTGAGTACGTCCACGGGCAGATATTGCAGTATGCCATCCTCCTGTTTCAGCGTGCGATTGTAAGACTCGTCCCACGGCGTTCCCTGTGCGGGGATGGTGCTCGAGGATGGCGATTGAGTCGTGAGCGCGTTGTACGTCGTTGTATCCGGCGTCGCACGGTGTCCGTACGAGAACTTATTCTAAAACGTCGAATCGCGTGTATAAGCTATTTATTCCGAGCGAGCACCCTTGTGTATGTATCCCTCTTCTTCTCCACCGAGCTTATTTGTTGACTAAATCGTTATTACGCTATTCGAGCACATTGTTATCAGATTGTTTTTGTCATATTACATTTTTATTATATTATTGTGTAGTATTATACGTGTATTAGTATATTATAGAGAATAATAATAATTTATACTGCCAATATATAAATTATCATGATCGTCAGATTCGCTACCTCGTTTGCGACGTCGCCGGTGCTCTCCGGGCCGCGGTTTTCCTCGGCCATGTCCGCGTAAGCGTCGGCGATCTGCACGGGAAATAGATACGACGCCGTGATCGATTCCGGAACGGAATGTGTCCCCTTTATCTCCGCGATCTTACGGTCCGTCGCGTGCGCGACTTTGACGACGGGGCGACGGGATGCCCGGCTGCTGTTTCGCTCCAGGAAGCCGTGGTTGTCCGCGTCGCCTCGTCGGAACTTGTAGAACTGATCCGGTTGCACGGAAGGTATCCTGAAAAAAAAAAAGAGGAGAAAACCAGAGCGACTTTGGTACGACCTGAAATAATCCAAGGGGACGTCCTCCGGACATTCGTCTTGCACTTTGGAGAACAAGAAGAGTGACTCGTCACCTCTCTCTCTCTTAAGACGAGACGACGGACAATTTGCTCTCTCGGATCACTTCCGATTATTTCTCCACATTTCTCCACACTTAGATGGACTCACCTGTAAATCTTGTTCTCGTCCGAGAACTGCGGCATGTCCACCCATTCGGCCAGGTTGAGATTCAGAAGGAGCAGCGCGGAGCACAGGGCGCAGAGGATGCCGCGCGCGAGCATCTTGCGGAGAAGACGGCGATGCTGCTGATGGCGTGAAGAGTGTATGGTGGCCTTCGCTATCCGCTGGAGGGAACAACGCGCCTCATTCTCCCGAGGTGGCGGCCGGTCGCGTCTCCAGCTGAATAAATAATACGCCAGCTTTCGCCCTGACGGTCCTGCTGCGCCGTCGGTGTAATTCGGACGCTGCCTGACAGCCGCGGGACAGCGACAGGACACGCGCGAGAGGACACCCATTATTTCCGGCAGTGGTTCTGTTAGGATTAATGAGAACGAAACGACGCGATGACGCTCGGTCATGTCGACGATGACGACGAGGAGGAGGACGAGTCGAATACGACGGAGACAGGGAGCGTTTTTCTTTGCGGACGGTGTTTGGAAAGAGAGAGAGAGAGAGAGAGAGAGAGAGAGAGAGAGAGAGAGAGAGAGAGAGAGAGAGAAAGAGAGAGAGAGAGAGAGAGCACAAGGAACGTCTCAAAACGAATCGTCGTTTATTTTTGCGTTCTTAGATCGTTACAGAGTTTCTCCTCTACGCAAAAGGATTCGTCTTATAGAAAACTTGCAGATCCGCGGAAAACTAGCGACTACTACCCCTCTCCCCTCCACCGCGCGCACGGTTCTTCACCCGTGTTAATAGTTTCGCGTGTTCTTCCCTTTCGAGATCCTATTTCGTATTCTTTTCTTCTTTCATGCTTCTTTACTTGTAACCTCGCAAGAGAAACGCGACGGTCGCTTGTTACGCATCGTTATTCCCCTTCGTTACCGCTACCGGAGAGAGGATCGGGGGATTAACATGTAAATCGGAACTTCCACCTGGCACTAAGTACACAACCTGCGGCGATCCCACATAACACGTGTCGTTCGCGCCCGCGAGGTTTGTTTTAACCGCGACGACGCTTCGCTCGAGAGGCGAACGCTCGATTATCGCGAGAGCCGGTTCCGAGTTTCAAGGCTGCCGAATGAGATATAAAGTCGAATCCGCGTACAATTACGTGAGTCAATATAAATGTTAAATATTACGAACATTATTCTTATACACCACGCACACACATACATACACATACACATATATATGTGTATGTATATTTAAATAATTTCTATCCTGCTTTGTTTTTCGACCGCAAACGCGCGTAAGATCGGCGCGCGTGAGAGAGAGAGAAAATAAAAGAAGGAATACCTGACGTGAATTCCCGATCTCACGGCCGCGCGTCGCAGGAGGAAGATCTAAATGCATCGCTGAATATATAATAAATGCATTTGTCCCGTGAGCAGGAGTAGGATGTTGTTAATCGCACGTCTGACTTAGAGATTACGTTCGCGCACAACGTGTATATAATTGGATTCTTAGTACTTAAGTACAAGTAATATAATAATAATTCATAATGCGTATGCGCAGACACTGCTCTACGGAAATTCTACGGATAAAGCCTACGGATGAACTCTCCTTTCCTCCGCGCTCTCCCCTTAAAAGTTGTTATAAAATATAACAATCATAATGCCTGTTATAACGCCTATCTAATATCTCTTATGTATACAGGTATTGACTACCTCTTCAGGTTTCTTCTTTTTTTCCCTTATCGTCGTCTCTTATATCGTAATCTTTCATCGAATATATATATATTATTCACTGTCTTTAAAGGTGTGTAAAAAGTGCTGCACACTGCTCCTTTATCATGATATAAAACGAAACGATCCCTTACACTAACCTTGTAAAGTTATTATTCAAGATGTAGGCCATATTCTTAAAGATACATGTAATGCCAATTTCTTTGTGTGATACGACATAATATATGTAGCACTTCGCGGCTGATAATATTCCCCTCGCGGGGAAAAAAAGTACTCTGTGCCGAAAGTTTTGTTCTCAGCTGCTTTTGCATGTACGACCGCGGAGCATTTTGCACGACCTCATCTCCTCCATTTTTCATGCCGATCCAAAGTAATTTCGACGAATTTTTCTCGTGGGTCATCTCGGCTTCTGCTAACTCGAATTCACCCCCATTCGTTTCACAACGAATGTCACGATCTCGTTATCTCGCCAAAACGGTAAACATGCTAAAGGAGAATAAAACTAACGGCATCTTAACACCCGAGTACGCATCTCACTCAACGGTATTCGGTTATTAAAGGCGATTCTCGCTTAAACCGATTGCAAAATTGATATATATATATATATATATATATAATACAGAATCTTACGTCCCACTTTTTAAGCTACGAATACACCGCCGTTATCTAATCTAATCAAATCGACATAGAGATTCGTCAATTGCCGCGTTAAGAAAAAGTTCAGATGCCAATCGTGCGTATCCTTGTCTCATAATTCCGTTACTAAACTTCAAATTAACACGCATCACAATTACATTTCCTCTCGCGCAACTACAACTTCTTCCGCGAAGGAATGCTCGACATTTACAAATTCAAACAATCGTTCATGTACACACACGCACACGCACGCACGCACGCACGCACACACACACACTACTCGAATTTTATGACAAAAACATGATTCTATATAAGTGGAATCTCTTCCTTTTTCTCGTCGCTTTGGAATGTCTTTTTTTGAGCATTCGTAACAGAATTCTCGAGATTGCAACGAGCAGCAGACGCTCTAGATTTAGAGTTGATACCGAGGAGATCGCGATATACGCTGCAGGGAGTCCACTAAAGGAAATTACAATCCGACGTCTCCTCGATATTTTAATCAACTGTCAGTAATGGAGATCTCGCTGCTCTCATAGCGAGAGGGACGACAACGTATTACGTTTTACGAGCGTAATAAATTGCGCGTACGAACGCGTGTCCGAGATTATCCAATTTCTACAGAACGTCACGCTATGAACGTAACATAACGACGGTAAGTACGTCACGACTTGCGTGCGTTTCCTGCCCCAGCAGCTAAGAAAACCTTACTTATCGCTAAGAACTCGCGGAAATGTATAAAAAAAAAAGGATATAAAAATATTTAAATTATATATATTGCAAAACATAAATTATTTGAGTAATATCAAATCGGCGTAGTACTTCAGCTTACTACGCGCCTAGTATCAGCATCCAACACGTTGATAACCGTAAGTAGAGCACACTCTGAGAAGCGTGGAATTGATCTTTAGAAATGACGTCAGTCTTCTTTTTCATTCTCACGCTCAAAATAGGACTTGTGATCTGAGGTGAATCGCTATTATCACATCAGTTAGTCGTCCAATGATATATTGATTGAGGATACGAATAGAATAATGCGTCAACTCGTGTGTACGATATTAAAGTAAATAGGTTTTTTTCTTTCTTTCCTATCGGTTTGCACGCAATATGTTCAACATGCACGGATTAGTGTATCCGCACTACCAGCTCGAGATAAAAACAGATAAAATTCTCTCCTCGGCCGAGCGTTACTGATATAACTTAATTAAAAACCTGCTTTTGAAATGTAGTCGCATTTCGTAAACAAGCGAGACACAAACTCTGCGTATATTAGCGCGAGAATAGATAAGAATAGATTTAAAATTATAACTGCACGCGTTGAAAAACAGATTAAGTCGATAAACTATATAGCACGTAACGTCAATAACAGATTTGTCGCGTTCTCGCGGAATCGGGACATCTCGGCACGATAACGCGAATGAAATTTCTATAAGACGGAGAGAAGAAATTCATTTGCATCTCTCCGAGCTCAACATCATCCGTACAAATAAAGACGAGAGAGATGTCTCGAAATAAAAAAAAAAAGAACGATAAAAAAACTGGTAAAATTCTTAAAAAAAAATGCTCCGTCTCGAGTAACGTGATTAATCTAAGAGTTAAGTAATATAAATGTCTACGCTGTTGTAACATCGTTCAAGTAACTTACACAGGGACAATATCTATACGAATCAAATTCAAAGTAAATATCTGAAATGCAGTAAAACGTTCGTTTGCTTGCCGAGCAAATGTTGACGCGCCTCACCGTCGGTCTAAATATTGATAATATTTCACGAACAACAGAGCGTCCCTTACTTGTTATTAATATTGTTCTCACCGACTACATGTAATATATTGCGAATCAAAGCGCTTCTTTGTGCTAGACCTCTGTGGGAATGTTAATATTACGGAAGCTTTCTGAGAGAATATATATATATATATATATGTATGTGTGTGTATATATATATATATATATATGGTGTTACGTTTAGTATCAAGTATTTCACTCAGAAGGAACAGTATCCGGAAGCGCGAGCTTGCGCGTTTGTGTTAATCAAACTCCTCTCGATTGCACGTACTTCAAGCACGATACTTCGGGATACTGCCGAAAGACGAATTGTTGTACTAGCTTTCACGTACTTTTACGGAGTCAGGCACGAATAAACCGCCGCAGAGTGGCCCGAGCGCATCGGGCCCAGCCTTTGTGTATCGACAGAGAAGTCGGTAGCGTCTCGATGTTCAGAGCAGCCGAACAGTTCTGTCATGTCTCTTGATTGCTGTACGCCATCCAACGTGCGTCATCGCTTTCGTGAGTTAAGTAACGATATCCGACCTTGGCCTCCAGCTTCCTCAGGTCGCACCATGTTTGATAATCCTGAAATGCGAAACGTTAATTATACTGGAAAAGACGTTAGAAATCATCTGATTTCTATATGATCGAATATGTAAAGTGGGAGTAAGCGGGATAACGCTTACTTGCAACCACACGTGTTGCAGGCTCTTGTCCACGCTGTATCTCTTCCTCTGTTTAACTTGCAGAAGATTATTGATCAGGTCGATAGCTAAAAACGACAGTAATTATAAGTATGTCACGTCGATTTACAAAATAATCAAGGTTTGAGTAGGTTTTTGTTTAACCAAGTTTAAAAAGTTAATGGCCCATAAAATTAACTTGGTTACATTTGAAGTTAGATAAATAAAAGATAATTAAATTAAAAGTTAAACTACATCAAATTAACTTACTAAAGTTAAAGGTTAATTATGTGCTTCGAAAGACGAAAAGAGATTCCGCTGACATTATTTTAGATTTCTCTTATTCTACATTTTTTTTTATAAGCAATCAATAATCAAATTAACATTTTTGCACATCAACAGCAACCAACTACGGTTTATGAAAAGACTACTATATCAGCGGCTGAGAATGTGATAAGTTAAACTGGATAACTAATATCAACAACGTTAGGTCGTATTGATCAGAAGCAAAGAGTAAGCAAGCGCAAACGAGGGAACGCTCGACATTACCGTCGCTTGAAATCTCCTTCCACGGCGTCGGCGGATACATGAACGCGGCGTTCTGGATCTGCTCATTGATGTCTTCCTCCTCGTTGAACGGGAACGTGCCGCTCAATGACACGTAGATAATCACGCCGACGCTCCACATGTCCAGCGAGCGATTGTAGCCTTTGTTTCGCAGCACTTCCGGCGCGAGGTACGCCGGCGTGCCGACGACGCTACGGCGGAAGCTCTTCTCGCCGATGATTCGCGCGAACCCGAAGTCGCAGAGCTTCACCTGCGTGAAGTCCGTGTCGCTGCTCAACAGCACGTTCTCCGGCTTCAGGTCGCAGTGGACGATATTCTTGCTGTGGAGATGCTTCAGCGCCACGAGGATCTGCGTGATGAGGAACTTGGTGATCCGCTCGCTCAGCCGTCCCCGCTCGGAGTTCAAGATCATCTCGAGCATGTCGCCCTTCAGCTTCTCCATCACCACGAATATCCGCTCCGGCGTCTCGAACATACGCTCGAGGTTCACCACGCCGCTGTGCGAGAGATTCTGCAGGATCGCCACCTCGTTCTTCAACTGTGCTTCCTGCTTCGTGGGGAAGCGCAGCTTATCGATCACCTTGATGGCGACCGCGCGACCGGTCTTGCGATGAACACCGCCGTAGACGATGCCGAACTGGCCGGAGCCCAACACCTCGTCCGGGAAGATCTGATACAGCTGCGACATGTCGGTGATGTTCTCTTCCGGCTCAGTGGACTCCTCTTGATCTGCAACATCAAGCGCGAGCGCGATTATCCTCGGTTGTCAACCGAACGCGATGGAACGGCGGAAATGTCGTCGGTGAAGAAGAATACACGCAGAAGATTTTTCTCTTCAATACACCATGCTTGATAGTATCGTTTACTAAATTTGTCTCGGGGATTCTGGGATATATTTCATACTTCATACCTAAATTTGTACAGAGTGTCTGACGCATATCGTCTTCTATCCGTCGCATGCTTGTAGTTTAGATCAATGTGTAAACAAAAGTCGGTAAATAATTAATAACTCAAAATATTGCGTGGTTGTTAGCAAAATGGTAGAAGACATTTTGCTCACATTGAGACTTAAACTACAAGTATATGATGGACGAGACGGCTCAGATATTTTGTATATGACAGCAATGAACAAATAGTTTGAATAGTGTGAGATATCAGATATATTTTTTAACTTGATGTACGAATTTATTATATATACGTACGAGAAAATATCAGAAAAGTAAAAAAAAAACGTCCCATACTGATTTTCGACGTTGCGGTTTGGATTCTTTCTCAGTTCTTGTATGTATGTGTGTGTGAGTGAAAGTTTATGTCTGAGAAAAATTCTTTGCGTGTACGCTTCGTTCATTGTGGATACGATCCACTTGAAGCTGCAAACGCTTCGCTTGACGAAAGAATATGATTGGTTTATACGGCGCTTCAAAGCACTCGCAACATAAAGTGGATCCTACCCTGTATCACATATGCATGGAAAGAGACACATGAAAGTAAACAACAAAAGGAAGGCGTGATAGAGATCTCGTGTGCTATCATCTCGCCCGGAGTGTTATATGATAGCGAACCAAATATACATACTAGTCGACACAGTTACAGGCATAAGTGCTTGTCTAATAGTAGTTTCCCACGATCTAGCTATATGAGCTCCAATACCGCTCTCTGGAGGAGAGACTTGGCCGCAATTCTGTCCGTATGATGGATCCTCTCCAACATAGTAATCGACATTGGCAGTTTTTAGCTCAAAGCAATGCATTATATCTACAATATAAGACAGGCAGTGTGTAAGAGGTCTAACCAAGAAAAAGAGAGAGAGAAAGAGAGAGAAGCTAGTTTGTGTTTAACACGTGAAATCCTCAAAAGGAAAAAAACAAAACAAAGAAATAATAATGATAATAATAACAAAAGTAAAAGATATATGCGCTAGGAGACGAGAAAGAAAACGAGGTCTGAATTCGCGGACGAAAAGAACGTACATGAACGAGGAGTTTTAGCGGTTTCGATCGCCGTGATCTCGGCCAATGGTATTTCCTTGTAATATTTCGAGCTAGTTTCACTTTGGAACAGCGTTATAGACTTTGTGTCGAGCCGCCAATAATGCTTCTTTCTCTGAAAAGGATTTCAGATCGTTAACGGTTAGATTGTTAACCACTGATTTTCATCGAGTTCGTATATATATTCATTTTCGGGTTGACGCACGATCTGAACGATCGCACGACCTCAAGGGGGAGAGGATTGTCGTCGCAGTAGCCTCGCGAATACTCACGATCGGGTCACGATGCGTGAAGTGCACCATCCAGCCTTCTTTCAATACCTTAGAGCCGCGTCTCTTGGTGTGTTTTACGCTTTGTACTATCCGCATCAGTGGAATGTTGTTACTCGGCGTGGAGCTACAACTGTTTCACGAGAGAGAGAGAGAGAGAGAGAGAAAGAGAGAGAGAGAGAAAAAGAGAGAGAGAAAACGAGTGAAGAGACACCGATGACACGTGCGCGTATCTGAAAACGCGAGGATCTCGCGGACTCACACTCACCTCGACGGCCGAGACTTCTGGTTCTCGTCGTAAACGATGTCGTCTGAATTCTGAATGTGATCCTGCACAAGCATAAGCATTATATAGCACAAATATTACGATGTCCTGGCCTGGAAATAGTATTTTCCACAACACGGTAAAAAACGGAATCAATATAAGTTGCATTAATTACTTCAACATTCGAGGGGAAGGATTAAGGGGAATTATATAAGTGTAAACAAATAATTGTGAGACTCGGGATTCGTTTAACGTGAAAGGTCAATTCACCGCGTATGTTTGTCCGGGAGAATTATTTGATACGTGCGTCATTGCACGGTACGTGAATATTTATATCCCCCCACATGCGAAATTAAAAATACTACAACCGGTCGCGATCAGGGCTCTGAAGGGGCACGTTTTATATCTCTGGAGTAAATGTTACTCCGCTTTTTCATTTGCTTCGCAATATTGTTTCTTTGAGAAACACCGTGCGTAAAAAACGGGCACGACTTACTGTATAATCGTTGGGCATCTTGTTCTCGTCGTTCGCGAACGACGCGTCTTGCGACGGCGGCGACGATTCCGTGTCACTGTCAGCGTCGACCTCCTCATTCCTGATATCACATTTGGCTTCTAACTCGCTGCCGACGCCGCTGTCTGGGTATTCACCTGCGTGACATTGCAATCCGTTACGCGCGTCCACGCACGAGAATACTTTTATGGTGAGAAAATTCTTTGTTTTTTTTTTCAGAGAAGAAAACGAAAAAGGACCAGCTACCTATATTGTCACGTAGATTTTCTCCGGTACAGTCTTTTGGTATTTTATCCATACACTTTTTGTGCGTATTGTATTGGCAATCTTTACATTGTAGGCCTTGCTTAAATATACCCTTCAGCAACTTTTTACAGTGTCCACACACGGTCGGACGAGTATACGTGTGTACTACGAATGTGTGCGGGATTTTAATTCGCGTCGCGAGCTCTCGCTCGACCCAGACTGGCCGTCCTCCTAACGACGGCGTGGGGGATTGTTTCGGTGCCATTATACTCGGTATCGCCTACAAGTACACAGTTTAGGTTCACATGAGGCGCACGCACACGTACGGAGTATTTAGTGAAAAGTGAAAACAAAGAAAAACGGAAAAAATAATAAGAGAAATGTCGTGTTTATTTTGCGATGTCTCGCGAGTGAATACATCAAAAGGAGAATATGTGTGGATCTTCCCTCATACCAGTGTACTATTATTTTGGCTTGTGTTAGGCGTATTATTTGAACTATGATTATCGTCAGTGATGCTGGTCAGGCTGCTGGTGGAGCCCTGGCTCGGCGACCTCGGTACGTTCAGCATCGCCGAGCTGCGCCTACGCTGACTCGCGTCTTGCGAACAGTTGTTCGGCACTTTAATGACGCATCTCTTGTGGTAGTTCATGCCACAACCTGCAACGAGAACACGCTGCAATTATTGCGTCGCGGGAAACCCCGAGAACCCGGTGTAACCAAGCTAATGCAACAGTAATATAACATCGACGTTACAATCTCCCGCTCAACAACGTAACTGTTACATAACGTACATATTGCATTTACATTGTTAAGTGGGAAGTTATAACATCGATGTCGTGTATTACTGTTGGTTGGTGATTCGCGCGCTAAAACGTGATTCGCAAAGAAAGAAAATATGTAAGAAGGTGATATCCGGTGTGAAGGTGCAGAACGTTGCTCGAGATATCCAGAAGCGACCCGACACTCACCTTCGCACTTGAGACCTTGTCGAACGAGCCCGAACAACATTTCACCGCAGAAGTCGCAAAATGTCGGGACTTTGTAGGAATGTACCGCTAAAGCATGAGGACGAATGGGAATGTATTCGCTTGGCACTTGCGCTGAAACATCGCAGGGCAATCCCTCACAATTAACAGAACCGCACAGATCTCGCCGGCAAGCTAGAATAAAGCACGAGAGCGCTTCTCTTACTCACCAGTCAACACGATTTCCACCAACGTCTCGTCGACCACCTCCGTGGCGTTTGTGATAAGCTGCAGAACATTTGTTGAATTGTAGTCGTGCTTGAACAGAAGTAATCTCTCGAACAGGTGGTTTAAGCCATGCTCCGGACACTTGGTGTTTATAAAATCACAGGCGAGATCTTTCAGGGCCTTGAGAGTCAGCGTGCTACTGTCGACGGTGACTGTGTCACGCGTCAGACCGAACTGGAATAAAAATGTCACTTCCGCCCCTTCCATGATGCTTCACGATTCTCTCTCCTGCAATATGCACATAGGATCCACATGAAGAGACCGACTGTGAGCCGCTGATCCGGATCCACAATAGGTGCAGCGAGCTTTCACAGTCCTTCGCTCTGAGCGACAAAATGTGCGACTTCTGACAAGAGGCGTTTCCCGCGCTGTCGAAAATCGCTAACAATCGCTGAAATTCTTAGGAATCGCGACGTAATTCCGGAGACGCCTTTCGCTGAAAATTGCGTTGCGATTTTAGTGCTCTGAGCAAAGACTACACTTACTATGCATCCGGACTTCGGAGATTGATTGACCCGAAGATACCTCGGCTTCCTCGAAATTCAAACGCTCATCGAATCTCACAACCAGTGATTTATCTCTCCCTCCGTCGTTTAGCGCGACGGAAAAGCGGAGTACTCGTATCCTCGGAGAACGTGAGTCAGGCTTCTCTCACGAGAGCGAACGGCGCAAAATTATTATTTCAATCGTAAGGCAACGCGCGCAACATGTTCGCACGCGCTCGACACGCGGATAATTAAGGATGTTTACCGTTCGTCACGAGCCCATCTACAGGTAGGCATGATCGAGAGAAGGCCGCTCATCGCGCTGCCGTGGCGGCGAAAAATTCCCGACACGCGAAGGCGTCGGCAGAGAACGCGCGCCTCCTCTTCCTGTCGCGAGCGGAATTTCCTCGGCCGCCTGACAAGTCGCCGGAGAGGCGAGCGAATGACAGCGGCGTGGAACAGCAGCAACGATCGAAAGAAAACGCGATAATTCCGAGTATATCGCCTCGATAACGGCTTATCCGCCGCACGAAACAAATAATTTCGTAATCCGGTCAATTCGGCGGATCCGAACTCTCACGAAGCGTGAAAAAGAGAGAGAACGGGAGAACCGTACACGCAGTTTCTCGCATTCTTTCACGGGGAATCACACACATACACACACGCACACTTTACGTACTTCCTCGTGCGCCTCAGACGACCTCGAACGACCCGTGCAGAAGACGACGGCTGCTTTCCTTCTCGAACCGGGATCAGGATCGCGGCGGCATAATTGACAAGGCAGACGTAGCTCGAGAGAAGAAGCAGACAGGCGAGCAAGCAGGCAGGCAGGCAGGCAGGCAGTCAGTCAGTCAGCCAGCCAGGTGTCACCGTACGCGGCGGCGTCGTCATCGTCAAGTCCATGCCTGACACACATTCGCTGATGACATTTTACAGTTATCTCCAGGTGACCGACCCACGTTGACGTAGCAAAGCTTCCCTCGGTGCCGGTTAGTCAGTCAGTTAGTGAGGCAGCCAGCCAGCCAGCCAGCCCAAGCCAGCTTCCAATCAACCAGCCACAGCCAGCCAGCCAGCTATTCGGTTAATCCGTCGCTACTATCCGCTTTCCATTTCCGGGGCCCCTCTAACAGCAGCGCCCTGAACCGAGGCGGCATCTGAAGCGAAACCGGTCAATGGGCTGACGCATCACACACGGCGTAGTCAGTCACTGCACGATCGCGTGTCTCGCCGAGCGATCGCGTCGGAAATGCCGCGCGAGGACGCATCCTGCGTCGCGTGTCTGAATTTCACAACTGCAAGTCGAAATCGGGACATGAGACTCTCCGAATGTCGGGTTGAAATATCCGAATTAGAAGCGTGAATGCGAGGAAGAGGGAGAGAGAATTTCGAAATTTAACAGGTTGAAGGAGAAAATTTTACCTCAAACGAAAGTCGATAGAAACAGCTACCCATGGGCAGCCATATTTTTTCTTTTACTTGAATTTAGCGACTTAATTGCGATTTACGTCCGACGTAGACGCGCATGCGCGAAGAATCCGTTCGAGAACACGATTCAAACTGCTAAGATTAACGAGCCACTTTGTTTAGTGCGAATGAGGTACGCGTATCGTGATTAATAAAGAATTGAAGAGATTTGTTTCGTTCACAGATGTAAAGGATAATAAAAAAGATTATATTTTCACATATAATTGTTTCGAAAGTGTTACGTGCTTAGAACGCGAGCTCGATGCGGGCACGAGTGGCTGGCAATTTACCGGCATGTTATTAATTTTGCTTACTGGGACATGTTTTGAAGATTGTGAGAATGTTACCTGTATACTATATCGTCGGTGACGATAGATCATTGCATATGCTTATTTTTACCAAACTCTGAATAATCTAATCGACGATTAATTTAACGGGATTGACCAGTCACATTGGTCAATTAGTCTAATAATCAATGCGATCGATCAACTCGTTAAGTTAATCATAGGTTAAATTAATTATAGATTAAAATTTGACGTAGATCCTTAGGTATTTCTCTCCATATCTGGGTCGCAGAATCTTGTCAGCAAAGGAAACACTCACGCATGCGTGTTAAATTCCTGAAAAAAAGGAGGCACTCGTTTTCAAAAGGTTTGCGTGTCGAAAATTTGTTTTTACTTATTTCTTAATGGCTTCTTTTTCTTTTTTAATACTTGTATATATGTGGCAAATTATGTTAATAAATATATAAATAATAAATACTGATATCAACTTGTGTACTTATCTATTTCATCTGATTTGGAGGCAGCGAGGATTTTCGCGCCCGTACACATACACTTCGTACGTCGGTGGATTCGTGCCTGCTGCGGCGCGCATGCGCGCCAGAGCATTCCGGGTGGGAGATACAATTTCGCGTGGCACTCGTCGCGTGGTAGCGTGTCTTTTTAACCTTTATAAAGCGGTGCATGCACACCAGATTGCAGAGTTATTCCGCCATAGGAGCTGCCGGTATCTTCTCTTTCATTGCTCGAGGCTGTTCAGGTGCGGTGTAGTTTCTGAAGTAGCCGTGGAAGTCGAAATAGATCGCTGAAGTGAAAAGGAAGGAGATAGCATAGCGTTTCGTTCCGGATAAAATTTTCCATCGCGGAAAATTCGGAAGAACCACGATGGATCTTACACTCCGTGTAAATTCCTACGATCCTTCGAAAGGTATAAGGTTTTTCCTAATCGAGTCCACTTTGACAAATATTTGAATAACTTTCAGATGCATTGTTAAGAACGAAAGAAATGTATTTTTAATTGCTACATTGCGTAATTAGAGCGTCACATCATTAGATATTGGTATGTTAACGATAAAACATTGAGAATTTATGCATTTTACAACTACATAAGATCCTACGATTTCATCTTTATTATGTTTGCAATCAAGCATTGCATGATGAAAGCTTATAGTCATATTTGTATTACGCAGTACTTATATCATCTAACTTATCTTAAGTTTCAATTTCTTTTATAGAATTGATAATAGCCACTGAGCTGATTAAATCTCAAAAGCAGCATAATGTGACAATAATCTGGCAGAAAGAATTGGACGAACAAGGAAAGGCTGGTTTATATGACAACACAAATGATAAACTATTACTAACACGTAGTAATGACATTGTTCGTTTTCTGGCAAGAACACTGGACCCAAAACTTTATGGTAAGAATCTGCAAGTAATTTTGTGAAATCAGATATTACATAAAAGAAAGTCTAATTAAAATTTACCTTTGTTATACAAGTTACCATTATAAGAAAACTTTATATTTGGTTATACTAGGTGATATTAAAAAAAGTCCTCCTTCATGGGGCTCGGCACAAGAAAGAACAGAAGTTGATCATTGGATATCGTTTGCAATTGGACAATTGTCAGCAGATGTGTTGGATTCATCTAATTTTGAGTATCTGGATCATATACTACAGACACGGACATGGCTGGTCGCTAAAGTAATCACATTGGCTGACATTTATGTGTTCTGCGTTCTGTTGAATAGAGATGTTACCAAGACATATAGTGACAAATATCGCAACATCGCTAGATGGTTTGAACAGACATCGAAGCACGAAGGTGTTTCTGTGGGATTGCGTCAAGTTGAATTAAACAGTATTGCACCCGCCAAGCCAAACGTTGCTAACGCAAACGTGAGAAAACAAGAAGGCAAATTTATCGATTTACCTGGAGCAGAAATGGGCAAGGTAAATTCGCAAAATAAAATGCATCTCATATTTGCGTCTCGATATTTTCAGTAATTTCTAAATCTCGCAATCCCTATGGGCGTTTTATTTTAGGTAGTAGTGAGATTCCCGCCCGAGGCAAGTGGCTACTTGCACATTGGCCATGCCAAAGCAGCTCTCTTAAATCAATATTACGCCGAGGCTTTCCAAGGACAACTCATTATGAGATTCGACGATACTAATCCGGCAAAAGAAACTGTGGAATTCGAGAATGCTATACTGGAGGACTTGAAGTCGCTGGAAATCAAGCCCGATCAATTCACGCACACTTCGGATTACTTCGACGTGATAAAGAAGTATTGTACTGCTCTGATTGAAAGTGGACACGCTTATGTGGATGACACCCCGGCGCATGTTATGAAGGAGCAGCGCGAACAAAAAGTGAAATCCGACAACCGAGATAACAGTAAGTAATTGACTCGATGGAACTTTCCAAATGTTACTAAATTACTAAATGTAATTAAATGTCGAGGAAGTGAACTGTAATGTTCACGAAATGTCGGATACAAATCCTCGAAAGACACAGCGCCAACTCAGAAGTCACATCGAATAAGAACTCATTTCTTTGAGGGGGCTGTTTCCACCTTTAAAAATTGTTTTTAAGCACCAACAAAAAATTGTTTCGTTGTTAAGTTGTCAGCTCTATAATTTTATGCTTTAGATTTTTTTTATAATTCAACCGTTGCCGGATGTTCCTTGTAAGCTCCTCGGGTGATCTCCCTCAGCGTTAGGATCTCTCAAATGATCTCGCACAATAGTGTTTCGTTTTTGCAGCCGTTGAGAAAAATCTCGCGTTATGGGAGGAAATGCGACGCGGCACCGAGAAGGGTCAGGAATGCTGTGTCCGAGCGAAGATTGATTACGAGTCGATGAACGGGTGCATGCGCGACCCAACGATCTATCGTTGCAAGTCGGAACCTCATCCACGTACTGGAGACAAATACAAGTACTTGAATATTTTATCATTCACGCGTCTTGATGCTTTAAACAGGATGTAGCGTCAAATATCGGCTGTGACGCATCTCAATTCCCGGTAACTACCTGAATATTGGAATTCTGCTCGTTAGGGTATACCCCACGTATGACTTCGCCTGTCCGATCGTCGACTCCATCGAGAACGTGACCCATACGCTGCGCACGATGGAGTATCGCGACAGGGATCCCCAGTTCGCCTGGATACTGGAGGCTCTGGGGCTCCGTAAGCCGCACATATGGGAATATTCACGTCTTAACATGACCCACACGGTCCTGTCCAAGCGAAAGCTCACGTGGTTCGTGAACGAAGGCTTTGTGGACGGATGGGACGATCCTCGCTTCCCGACGGTCAGGGGTATTCTGAGACGAGGAATGACGGTCGAAGGCTTGAAACAATTCATCATCGCGCAAGGCAGCTCCAAGTCCGTAGTCTTTATGCACTGGGACAAGATCTGGGCCTTCAACAAGAAGGTCATCGATCCGATCGCTGTCCGGTAACTGTGAATGTTATTGAGAACGTCCTCTCTCGCGATGAAATTGTTTCCATTACCTCTCGACGTATTCGTTTCAGATACACCGCGTTGGACAGCGATAAAACCGTGCCGGTTGAGGTGATGGACGCCAAGGAGGAGTGGTTAACCGTGCAGAACCACCCGAAAGATCCGTCGAAAGGTACTAAGCGAGTGCGAGTGGGGCCTAAGATATTCATAGAGAAGGAGGACGCCGAGAGTTTGGTCGAAGGGCAGAACACGACCTTCATTAGCTGGGGTAATCTAACGATAAGGAAGATAGAGAAGAAGGACGGCACCGTCGTGGGTGTGAAGACGTCGTTGAATCTGGACGATAAGAATTACAAGGACACCTTGAAGATCACATGGCTGGCCGCGCCATTGGCGACCGAATCCGACGAGAAGCCGGAGGAAGCTGACGCGGTACCGTGTTACGCCGTTTACTTCGACCACATCATGAGCGTGCCGGTCTTGGGCAAAGATGACGATTTCAAGAACTTCGTCGCCAAGGAGACGAGGAAGGAGGTCGAGATGCTGGGTGAAGTTGAGTTGAAACGCGTGAAGAAGGGCGAGATCATCGAGCTCCGGAGGAAGGGCTTCTTCATATGCGACGTCCCCTACGCACCGGTCAGCCCTTACTCGTCGCGAGAACAATCCGTCATATTGTTCCACATACCCGACGGACGCATGGCGCCGCCTTCTAAGGTTGCGAACGCTGCGCCAAGTATGGCTGCGCCGAGCGCAAACGTACCAAGCGGCGAGCAGACGAGGAACGCTCAGGTGATCAACGAGAAGATCGTCGCCCAAGGAGACAAAGTACGCCGCTTGAAAACCGAGAAGGCGGACAAAGCTACCGTCGACGTGGAGGTTAAGGCCCTTTTGGCTTTGAAAGCAGAGTACAAGACCAGCACCGGGGAGGATTGGAAGCCCGGTGTTGTCTCGAAGACACCGAAAGCGGAGAGCAACGATGCTGTGGAACTGTCCGAGGAAATTGCTCAGCAGCGGAACAAGGTAGCCGAACTGCAGAAGCAGTTGGACGAGGAACTGAAGAAGCTGCAGAAATTAGAGGCCAAACGCAACGAGAAGAAGACCGACGCGGGAGACCGGAAGGGCGATCGCACGCAGAAGCGACGGGAGGACAGAGCGAAGCAAAGAGCGGAAAGCGGTAAAGAGAAATCTGTCGACGACGCGAAGACCGGCGACAAGGAAGCCGCGGAGAGAATATCCCAGGAGATAGAGAAGCAAGGTGACAAAGTGCGGAGTCTGAAGAGCTCGAAGGCCGAGAAGAGCGTGGTTGATCAGGAGGTGAAGACTCTCTTGTCCTTGAAGAACGACTACAAGAACGCGACCGGTCAGGATTGGAAACCCGTAGCGACGTCGCTGTCGTCGTCGAACGCGACGCCCAAGAAGAAGAAGAAAGAAGAGCAGGCTAAATCCGGTAAGACGGCGGAGAAGGAGGTCGCGAAGGCAAGTCCGGCGGCCGCCAAGGACGCGAACAAAACCGGCACGAGGCTGGGGCTGGAGGTGAGGAAGCTGGAGAACTTCTTCGAATGGTATTCCCAGGTGATCACGAAGTGCGGCATGATCGAGTACTACGACGTGTCGGGCTGCTACATTTTCCGTCCGTGGAGCTTCGCCATCTGGAAGATCATAAAGGAATACATCGACCGCGACATCACCGCGCTCGGCGTGCAGGAATGCTACTTCCCGATCTTCGTGACCCGCGCTGCGCTGGAGAAGGAGAAGCAGCACATCGCCGACTTCGCGCCGGAGGTCGCCTGGGTGACCAAGTGCGGTAAGTCGGATCTGGCGGAGCCGGTGGCGCTGCGACCCACCTCCGAGACCGTCATGTATCCGGCCTACGCTAAGTGGCTCAAGTCGGACACAGAGTTGCCGCTCAAGCTCAATCAATGGAACAACATTGTGGTAATTGTTGCCTTCCTTCGCCATTGGCGCGATTATGCTTAGAAAGGTAACTTTCCCAGATCTCAGTCTTGGCAGCGACTCACTTTTCTCAATTATTTTTCCTTGAACCCTTTCAAAATAAAATCGACCGCAAGAAATCATGTTCAATAATTTTCTGTAGAAATAAAAGATTAAAAAAGGTAACAATAAGAGAGACAATAATGGCTGTGTTTGGCAAAAAAAGCAATTTCCGCTCCCATGCCAGGAATCTGAATATTCGAGCAGAAAACGTGCACGGGAAATGCAGGGAGGAGAGATCGTGCCGTTAAAGCGTCTAATCGTTCCGCTTTCATTTTCAGAGATGGGAATTCAAAGATCCCAAACCCTTCCTGCGTACTCGAGAGTTCCTCTGGCAAGAGGGCCACACCGCGTTCGCCACAAAGGAAGAGGCGGACGAGGAGGTTCTGATCATCCTGGACTTGTACAGAAGGGTCTACGAGGATCTGCTGGCGGTACCCGTCGTCAAGGGCCGCAAGACTGAGAAAGAGAAGTTCGCCGGTAGCGATTACACCACCACCGTGGAAGCCTTCATCTCAGCGAGCGGACGCGCTATACAAGGCGCGACCAGTCACCATCTGGGCCAAATTTTTTCGACCATGTTCAACATCCAGGTGGAAGGCGCCGCAGAGGGCGACGAGAAGACGTTCGTCTATCAAAACTCGTGGGGTCTGACCACGCGAACGATCGGTGTCATGATAATGGTCGGTAAAATTATCGTCACCTATAAACAATGGGGAATTAAGGAAAACTGGCAGATAATAATTATCTCATCAATAATAGTTATTTGTCACTAATCAAATTGTCAGTGTGATAATTATATAATTGTGTGAAGCAACGTGAAATTATTGTTAAATAATTGTTTCATGCAGTGTATAATTATTGCGCACTGATAGCTGCATACAATGAGGCTTTTGCTCGCTTCTAAAAGAGGCGCCGTACAAACAGCGAAATTGTCACACATTCATATTGTTGTGGCTCGCTTCGCGAATTGTCTGTAACTGTGCGAACGAATTTACGCACTTGTCTCTGTTTAGGTGCACGGAGACGATAGGGGTTTAGTGCTTCCGCCGATGGTGGCCACCATCCAAGCTATCGTTGTGCCATGCGGCATCACCGCGAGCACGACAATGGAGCAGAGAGAACAGCTTCAGTCCGAGTGCGTCAAGCTGGTCGATGAACTGAGCAAGGACGGTAGATTCCGAGTGAAGGGCGACTTCAGGGGCAACCGAACGCCCGGATGGAAGTTCAATCACTGGGAACTGAGAGGCGTGCCCGTGAGAATAGAAATAGGCCCGGCGGAGGTGCAGAAACGTCAGGTTACTTTTGTACGCAGAGACAACTTCGAAAAGCACACTACCGCGAGGGACCAGGTGATCCCGTCGTTGGATTCCTTGTTGAAGGATATACAGTCGAGGCTGTTCAACAAGTGAGTGTAACTCGAAGCAACTTTCATCGTTGATTTCCTCCCGACAGCACCAATTTTTCGTTCTCTCTCTCATCGATAACGTGCGATTTTGTCCGTTCGTTTGTAGAGCGAGAGAAGATCTCGAGATGCACATCAAACGAGCGGAGACCTGGGCCGATTTTTGTCGTCATCTCGATAACAACAATTTGGTGTTGTCACCTTTCTGCGGAAAACCGTCGTGCGAGGATAACATCAAGGCGGATAGCGCGAGGTAACGACACTCGGTGTAGTAGAAACGATCCTCCGGAAACAGCGGGAGTCTCCTCTCGCGTCCGTTCGCTCAAAATGTATCGACGCTAACACTTACGATTGATTGCAGAGGCGACACCAGCGAGGAGATCGGCGCGCTCTCGATGGGCGCCAAGAGTCTCTGCATACCGTTCGAGCAGCCGGAGCTGACGAAATCACTAGACGAAATGAAATGCATTCATGACGACTGCAGGGACAAACCGAAATATTACACTCTCTTCGGACGTAGCTATTGAAACGTTTCTGATGAAAAGGAAGCTCGCGAGTCTCTTTTCAGTTCGTTTTTATACACGTGAGTAACACGAAGTTTGTAATTGTACGGTACGAAGATCGTGCTGAGGTTTATAGTCGCATTTTTTATTTATTATGGTATGTCAGCAGTCCGATTTTCCTTCCAGATATATAATAAATCACATTTGATAATTCGCTCGTGTGATTTTCTTGTCATTCAACTTACGTACCTCTTTTTTGTTTCTCTCTCACTCAAAACCCCCCCAAAATCTGGCGCGGATACTGTAGGTCCGTTCCTCTTAACTGAACTAGGTTGCATTTTTTGACGTTAGAGAGTGAAATATTATATAATGTTGAAAGAAGAAAAAACGAAGTGCCAGTGTGTAGCACCAGTTCGACTGAAGCAGAACAGACTTTACGTATTCGTATACTTACGAACTTCAACGAAGCCTTTATACTTGCATAGTCTAACATTGACTGCGTTCGGGGCGGCGCAATAGTTGAGTGAGCGACTGTTTCGGGTTGCTCCTCTCCCTGAAGAAATGAACTGAAATATTCGCGAAGCGTCGAATACAAATTGACTATGAAGAACGCGATGCTAAATCGGAAACCAGATTGAATATTTACCCAAAGCGCGAAAGGCCTAAAATATCAATCGAGTGATCGGATTTTGGAAGATGGGTTGGTAATTGGTAAATCCGAGGTATGCATGAATAGTTGTTACACAACAATTGTACGATAGATGTGTTAATTGAACGCAACCATTTATTGATTACCGATAAGAAGCTTGATGGAGGAAATGCGACATTTCCACGGTGAGGGAATCTGCGTGGCGAACTCCGTCGTCGCGAGAACCGATTCGAGATCGCCGTGCGATCAATCGCGGGCCGCGTGGTGTCAATTGTTTCTCCACTTCCAAGTATAATGGCTACGCTCGAATGAAACGCGGATCTTTACCTTCCGCCTTCCGTCGCACACCAGGCGCACCAGGCTGGGCCCGGCGTCCAAAATTTTAAGTGCACCTCGCAGGCATCCTCAAATGACCGTGCGGAAACGCCTAGTCGCCGTTTTGATCCGACGATAACCGAGGTAACCGTTATCCGGGTGCTCGTATCCGTCGACGACCGTGCCGAACCGTTCGATTTCGAGCGAGCAAAGGCGGGGGTGTCGTCAGGAGAAGAGCGAGGATAAATTCAAGGGTAAATTCTCGGTGACACATCATCTCCGAAAGCGAACTCGGGTTGGCGAGAGAAAGGAGACGATTACAAAGATCGAAGGCTCGGCCGTAGACCTCCCGGGGACAGTGATGACGCGTCGATGAGGAATCACTGGCATGGCCACGATACTCAGCCCCCGAAAGTCGGAGGTCAACGCTCTCGAACAGCGGGGCTATCTCATCGGCAAGAAGATCGGACAGGTTGTTTTAATCTTCTTCATTTCGATCCTTCTGTTCGTTAGCTTCTGATTTCTCTTTTTCTTCCAATATTTCGCTGGTGTGCCACTTCGTGTTGAAAGATTAGTCGCGAAAAACGAGAGGAATCTTCACATTCCGATTATCGTATTGTTTGACGCATACACCATAGCTGTCGAGCGCAACACAATCGATTCTCCGGAGTTCACAAAATCCCGAGATAAGATTCTATGTGTCACGAATACACAAGCCGACGGCTTTCAGGGGACCTACGCGACCGTTCATCTGGCGGAGTATGTCGATGGCACGAGCTCCAAGAAGATGCGTCTGGCCTGCAAGATCTTCGATAAACAGAAGGCGCCGTCCGACTTCTTGGACAAATTCTTCCCCCGCGAGCTCGAAATTCTGACGAAGATAGAGAATCCACATATAATTCAAGTAAGGCATACTCACAGCAGGAGCCACCGGTCAGATTTTCTCCAGCGTCTCGTCGACGAGGAAGGGACAATTCCGGAAGCATCTCTCGCTCCTCCCCCAAGAAGCCGACCGATTGAGACTCTGTCACGTGAACTTTCATTTTTCGAATTTCCGTCGCGTGATAATCCGCAAGATAAATCGAATTAGCGATTAGTCTATTCGATAAGCCGCAGGCTCGGATACCCCGGCCGGGGTGCTCGAGTGTAGCAGCTGAAAATTCCGTTATTCAGCTCAAGAGCTGTGAAATCGCGTGCGCAGGTGCACAGTATCCTGCAGCGCGGTCCGCGCGTCTTCATCTTCATGCGCTACGCCGACAACGGCGACCTGCTCGACTTCGTGAGGAGCTACGGCATTGTGCCGGAACAGCAGTCGCGGCTGTGGTTCCGGCAGATGGCATCCGGCCTGCACTACCTGCACGGCAAGAACATCGCCCACCGGGACCTCAAGTGCGAGAACATACTGCTATCGCGGAAGTTCAACGTGAAACTGGCGGACTTCGGTTTCGCCAGGTTTTGCGCGGACCACGAGGGCAGGCGGGTGCTCAGCCAGACGTATTGCGGCTCGGCGGCGTACGCCGCGCCTGAGATCGTCGCCGGCATCCCCTACAACCCGAAATTGGCGGACGTCTGGTCGCTCGGCATCATCCTCTACATCATGCTCAACGGCCGGATGCCGTTCGACGACAAGGATCTGCGGAAGCTCCTGAGGAACCAGAGATCGCGCAACTGGGTCTTCCGCATGCGCGTCCGCGACGTTCTGTCCGCCCTCGCCAAGAACATCGTCCGGCAGATCCTCGAGCCGGACATTACCCTGCGGCTGACCCTCGAGCGCGTGTTGGCTCATGATTGGGTGAGGGCGAAGAAGGAGAAGACGGGCTCCCTCGCCGGCAGACTGGTCCATTCGGCGCCGCCGAGTCACGCTCCGGTTACGATCCACAACGTTCATTATTGTTATCCGCGGCCCACAGAAATCTTCTCGCGATTTCGCCCCGTTTCTATCGACGTCCGTTAAACTCTTAGACGAGGATTTCAACTTGGATTAAGGTTTCAAGGGTTGCCAACGGCCTAGAAATGTGATGTTAACGTTACGACACGATCGCCGCTCTTCTTATATTCCTCGTGCAAGTAGACTTCACGTAAACGCGATATGAATGCGATGAGTGCGCGCTGCTCCCTCCTTTACCATATTTAACAGAGAATCCAAGGTGTATAGACATTTTTCCGCCAACTTCTAGTATCCTGTAAGGTCTCTAAATTTGATTGAAATATTATAAAAACGTTCTTTGAAAATTCCCAATTGTGGAAAATTCGATACGTACAATCTGTAGGATTTCTGTATCAGGTAAAGATTTACATTAACTGATAGCTGGGGATATATCAATTTTGAAATTTTCTCACATATTGGAGCAATTCATTTTCACGTGTACTTTCACTGTGTGAAATCACTTACAATTTTGTACAGTCGATATGACGTAAATTTTGCAGAAAGAAGTCAGTATTTGGCCGGCAAATTTCTCAAGTATGGCATCCTCATAATCGACGTTGATAGAAACGGACAATAGAGTTCCAAAGATCGTTCCGACTAACATTGTGTGGTTGTCTTTGCGACTGGCAATAAGTCGGAGGTACAATTTCGCGCTTTTCGCACGTGGGGATTACATTTGTACAAAAAACGTAACGAACCATCTGTGTGTTTGTGTACAATCAGATGTTCGGAGCCAGTAACTTGAACGGCTCGGTTATTGCACGCACTGGAAACTTATCGAGGGCGTTTCCAGTAGTGAAAGATTCAGACAATCAGCATCAAGAATCCTCGAAGACGGTGAGCAGCTCGAAGAAGGTTCCGCAGCTGCCCATCACCGGATAAAAGAGTGGAGGATACTCGATACTTTGATATTTTGAAGATATATAAACAATAAGAGACCCACGAGGAACTTGGAACGATCATTTTTGAAACTATTTACACCGTGTGAACGAATATTATTTGTTGATGGAATATTACTTGATATTTGATATTAAAAATATCGCCGCCTCAAATTGATCTTTTATCTTCCCGTGACAAAGAACGATCATTGAGACACTTGACCGTATATTAATGATAAGTTTATTATACAGTTACCGTCTATTAATATACAAAACTATACCTTTTTTTGGTTACATATACATAAAACGCGATATCTCGCGTGGATATTTTGCGTAACGATATAATTGATATAGTTTGTTGTCCTATACGTCTAATTTACATTAAAATAACAAATAATTTACACGATTCGATATCTCGCGTCGTCGTAGTCGAGCTCATAATCATACTTCGTATAGCACCTTGTAACAATGAGATAACACACATGCAGGGAGAAATATAATCGCCTGTTCTCACGATAACAGAAATGAACGAAACGTCATTACCATCGAACGTCGCGATATGTACCGCCAGATTTTCACTTGTGCGCGTTTGACGTGACCCGATTGAGGTCTCATGATGGTTAACGACGAATCCCTCGTGAGTAGAAAAGTTATCGCATATAAAAGCACAATTGATCATTCGTATAAACGTCTCTAAAACAAAATTATCGTGATCTTTCCCCGAAATTATATCGCAAATGTACAAATTGTGAATTTTCTGCGGAAAAACTCCATGATTTCGGTCCATTGACCTGCTATCGATGTAAGTTCTCGTACTTTATATGATGATTCGACCATATCGGTGAATATTTCTCACGAATTATCTACCCTCGTCGAGCGAGAATAATTCTACGATCGTGAAAAAACGGGCTGCCCGCCCGTCGCGCTTGTGCGTAAAAAGAGCGCGGTAGTTCCTATTTACAGCCTACAATCCGTCCATCGCGGGCGCGCTTCGGTATTTTTACAAGTGTCGTCAGCCAGCCGTGTTGTTGTTGCGAATGGCTGCGTTTTACTAATAAATGTCAGTCCTCGAAACTGACGCGCATCGTATACGCGCTCCGTCATCGCTTGTTAGAAAGAGTTGCGTTAGAGAACCGCTTTATACACTCGTCGTGCGCGTTTGTCGCGTCATTAGACCCATCCGCCGGTCAGTTTGTGGAACATCTCCTCGTTCAACGTCTGATTCGCCTCCTTCGAGCGCATCGACAAAAAGATGTAGCCTCCTATGAACTCGTGGACGACCTTGCAGTCGGCCGATTGGCACTCGAAGATGATATTCTCCTCCTCGAACTGTACCATCATGTGCTTCACCTCCCAGTTGACGTTCCACGCCTGCGAAAGAGACGAGATCGACCGTCTTCGATTTGTTCTCATGGACGCAAAGAATACACTAAGCTCGAGTCAAGTTTTTCTCATTTACTGCACCAAAATTTATGATTCTGACATGTCAAGTTATCAAAATGACGGATTAAACGAATAATCAACAGTCGTTATGGATACGAGTAACCCAACACGACGCGAAAAAGGCTAACGAGTTTGGCCTGCGGTGAATGTTAAGGTTTTATTGAAGTTTAATATGACAACAGCACACGAATTAGTACGTACCTTCATGGTGTTGTACCTCCAGGTCTTCAGATGATCGCCGCTGTGAAGTTCCATTCGCATTAGCCTGTTGTTGGCGATGCCGAGCAGCTCGTCTTTGTTCTTGAATCGCACGATGAAGAGAGAAATGCCGTATTCCGGCAGAGACTGCCAGGCTTTGATGTAGTTCAGTTTCGCTTCGACGAGTGGCAGATCCTTGACGTTTGCGTGCGCCTCTAAGATCCTCTGGACCAGCTGTGCGAGAAGAAAATGATCGATACGGCTCGACAGAGCTCCCGTCACCATGGGATTATTTGCCGATGAAGCGAGAGCGGCTTACCTTTCCTTTGAACTTCTTCGCGAATCTAGGCGCCACGTAATCCTCTGGGACGATGTCCAAGGAGCTGGGATTGATCGCCGGTGCGGGAGCGGGCCTCTGAAGCTGCAGGAAGGCTATGATGCTGTTGACTTCGCCCTCGTAAGACGCGTCCGCGAGGGTGCGGCCTTTGGCGCCTAATCTGCACGCCGCCATCCACTTGGCGTACTGTTGCTCCTGCGATAACAGAACGAATGCCAATCACCGCGCTCGAGAATAGGCCTAGAAATTCTATCCGAAGCTTTCGCTCCTCGAAGCTTCGAATTGATGAATCTTCGACACAATTTTATTCAAATAATGAAATTTTGAAGATCGAGTCGGCACGTCCGACGATACTCGCCGCACGACAAATGAAATATTAGCCCGGGAACGCGTTACTTCCCAGCCTCGCGGATCAGATCATCCACTCACGTTGTCGCATCTGATCCACATCTCGGTCATGCCCTCGGCGCTGGGCACCTCCAGCCTGATCCCGTAGCGACCTTGCGACAGTTGTACGTCCGGCGTGACCTCGCAGCCGCGCAGGCTAATCATGTAGGTCGGCGACTCCGAGCCGCTGGTCTCCTCGCGGCTCTTGTAGAGCCGGAGGTGCAGGTCCCGGCATGTGAACCAATAGCGTTTGAAGGCCTTGAGGGTGAAGCGTTTCGGCTTGAAGAAACGCAGCTCGTCGCACAGCTCGGGCACTTGCGTGATGTCGCTGGGCCCGTTGCTGATGTTGCTGCCCTCCAACGTCACCTGCAGGTCCGTCAACGCCGCGTCGATGTCGTCCTCGACGGGCGAAGTCGCGCCGTTGCTGTCGTAGGTAGCGGGCTGCGGCACGCTCGCCTGAAGATTCACCTGTACCTGCGCACATCGGACACGACGGGGTGAGGAGCGTAGGTGACTCTTCTTCTTCTTTTTCGCCTTCTCCCGGAACGTTCGTCGCGAGGACGGGACGGGAGTAGGTGTATCAAGGTGAGCGACGTAGCGTAGCGGCAGTGGGTCGCGTTCGCGCGTGTAACGACATTACGTAGGTACGACGGAATCGAAGCAATCGGCTTAAGGACGCGGCTATTTGCATGCGTTACGCATCGCCGAATGGGGCTCCCTCGGAGCGGCATAAGTATATAGGGAGCGGCGGGGACGAATAAAATATTCAGACGTCGTGTGAATGACGCGAAAAGAATGGACGACGATCGGAAATCGCTATGAAAGCATAGGTACTTTAATATCCTCGCGTCTTAACATTACGAACACTGCTGATCCTTTTTCTAATTCCTCTGCGTGAAGTTCAAACGTGGATGAAAAAACATTTCAGCGCGTGAAACGAAACGTTCGGTGGAGCACGCGTAAATTCAGTCAACACGTTGACTGCCGCATTAATTGTTATCGGTGAAATACCTGGAGCGCCGCGAACATCAGCATCTCCTCCTCGGTGCAGTCGATCTCCTCGGCGAGCAACTGCCACTTGGCTTGCTCGTAGATCATGTTGATGCGCACCGCGTCGGTCTTGGGATTCAGATCGTAGAAGGAGTAGAACTTGAACTTCAACCTGAGCGTGTCGAATTCGCGGATACCCTGCTCCATGATCGACAACGAGGAGTCCAGCCAGGAGACGTTCATGCGCGCTCTCTCGATCAGGCTCTTCGGCCTGATCAGCTTCGCTCGCACCTCCGGCGAGATCGACGTCGGACTCTGCGCCAACGACTCCGACAGGCCGCCGTTTAACGCCTCCAAGCTCATCGTGCTGTTGTTGGCGTTGAAGGAGCCGGTGCTACCGAAGCCGGACGAGTTGTTGTTTCTCTTCCACGTGCCGGTATGCTAAAAATTCCCGTTGAACCGGCGTTACGGAAGGTAGCGTGGACTTCGCAAAATCATTCGCGCCGAGATCGAACGATTGCGCGAACTGGTGTTAAAGGTAAAAAGGAAGAGGAAAGAGAAGCGGTAAAAATGGAAAACGATGAATCTTCAATGAAGCGAGTTCTCTGTTAAATCTTTGATACCGTGTTCGGCATGACATTCCCGGTGAGTTAAGGAAGAAAATGAACGCGACGAAATGAGTTACTGGTGAGATGCACTGTATTCGAGAATGTGATATAATCGAGTCTACGTGATAAATAGTAATAAATAAGAGAACAAATATAGATGTCCTCTACATGATCTTTGCGATGCTACTGGTGGTATTTGTTATATCTGGGACGTTTCTTGTCCTGTTAATCAGGCCACATGTACAATCGTGCACTTTATAAGGTTCTCACTCTATCCTTATCCTATATCTCACACACGCTAAACCTACCGAGACAGGCGAGCTGATCGGCGTGCTGTGATTTCTGTTGGGCGTAACCGGCGCGCACATGAACGGATTGGATTGATCTAAACTTCCCGTGGATCCTCTAGGACTCTGGCTGGCCGGGATGAAGGTGTTAGTGTCGGCCGACACATTCCAGTGACCGTTCTTTGGGTTTTCGGTTTTCTTCTTGGCCGGCAGATCCTTCAGATTGTATTTCAGGTGATTCGGCTCGAGCGGTTTACAAAACGACAGCTCCTCCGGGTGTCTGATGCCTGAAAATGCATCACGATTCGTCCGAGTCTCGCATTTGAAATGTAATAATCATTCTGATTTCCCCTCGAAAGATTATAAGATCTTTTATGCCGCTGTCTGAAGAGCGAAAGGAACAATAATGGTCAATCACGATGATGTCTATCTCGCAGTATGTTGTTGCAAGGAAATCAAGTAATCGATGGACAAAGATCGCGTACATTAGCGTATATTTATGAATATGACATAGTGAAATATGCAAAAATGCGATCGTTCGAACACGTCAGATACACGAACAAGAGAGCCGCGAGTAATTCTCGAGTTTCCGCGAAACGATAGATTTATTTCCTTACTCATATACTTTCAATTCAGTTTACGTGCGTTTTTTTTTCTTTTTCGGCCGCGAAAGAGTATGTTAATTTCAGAGAAATTCTGAAATATTTAATTGTGTGGGGGGGGGGGGGAATTCGTGAGATTGAAACTCGCCGATCACTTTCTATTTCAGACGACGTTGTGAACACGCGTAATTATATACGCGGAATTATTTTCAGACCGCAGCGAAACGATAAGGCCGTATCTCCCCGGCACTTCCTCTTATTCGAAAGTCAGCTTTATCCTCCGGACAAAATTATCGCGTTAACCCACTTCCTTGATTAAAAAGCCAGTCGAGGCTGCGCCACGGCGGATTCACAGCCGCGATCATCCGCGCGCGACCTTCGCGTGACTACGAATTTATCATTTCTCTTTTATTATCGCCTAGAATATCACTACTGGCGCAAATTAGTCGCCACGATGCACGCTCGCCCGAGTGCAATGACGACGGAACAGTTGATATTTGCTGACACGAAGTACATGCGAAGTACATTTAGAAAATGATAAAACGAAAAATCTATAAACTAAACATATGAACAAATGGACAGAATAATAATACGAGATACACGAAGAGAGAAATAAAAGTGGAAAGAGGAATGGAATAAAGATAAGAATAAATAGAAAGATCTTCGAAAAATATTTCTCACTTTCAGCGACGCACGTGCGTTCTTCTTTCATTTTTATTTCTCCGTTGCCGATGAGAGACGCAACAACGATGCGAAATTATTCGGTGTTATTATATATTACGAACATTTATGCCCTCTCACGAAAAATTAAAAAACGTTACCATCGCTACAATAGCCACGATTAAATTCTTAAAGAGCCGTTCTATCTTCCTTTCGAAATGATTTCATTAATTGCGAAAGCAGCCGCCGAGTGCTACTGTCGTGAGACACGACTTCGCGATTCTTCTTCTAGTGAGTACGTTTCCTTCGAATTTTTCGTTGATCTCCGCACGAAGAGCATTCTGTTCCTCCCTTCGTGCGAACGTCATTAATTGGTACGCGCGATAACTGCTCGCGCCACTCGTTTCTATTACGCGTCTTAAACAATGTTAATGGGTTTGCGCGAGACTCACCGAGTTCCTTGCACAAATTGATGACCGCGTTGAACGTCTTGACGGAAAAATCGACTCGGCAGTCGAGGCAGCGCATATCCGGCAACTGCACCCTCAGGGTCTTGTGCATCGGCGTGAAGTGCAGCTGCGCGTCCGCCGCCACGCCGTACTGGTCCAGGGTGCTGCGGGTCCTGGTGAGCCAATGATTCCGCGCCGGCCACCAAAGAGCGTGATCCGACCAGTCCATAGCGATGTCTGCAACAACGAAAGCAAAATCGCAACGGTTATTATCAGTCTTAAACGCCCGATTGAGAAAAATATCTTAATAAATCAATAAGAGCCGACGTTGCGAGTAATTTATTTATCTGCCTCATCGGGGTAGCTTAAGATATCGCTAATCGAATTCCAGTGTTGTGAAAAATATTTCCTCAACCAACAGCAGAACGTGAACGTCACAAAGGGGAAAACGTGAGGAGGGCATAGGAGGAAATCGGCGAGCCTTCCTCTTGGAACCAAGGGTAAAAAGGGTAGCGGAAGGTTTTGTACCTCGAAGTTATTCTCTCCTGAAACCGCAGGCAAACTTGCCTCCGGTTTCTCGTGTCGAATGGATGAAAACGAGCCGGCTGTGAAAAGTCAATTTTCACAGCTGTTCGCGCCGTTCCGTTCGCGCTTCGTTTAACGACTCCGGGGAGCCTATCGGAGGTTCGTGCGGTTCCCCGAGGACCGTTTGAGATCTCCCATTAGGCCGCACACATGGGGCTGCGGATCGTGGGAGGCTGCGTACCAAATGACACCGGGGAGGCGAGATGGAATATGGATGAGGGGTAGTGGTATGCTCGTAACGCTGGAATTATGATTCTATTATTATTGGAAAACGTCTCTCAGTGTGCAGGAAGTTAAGACTTTCTTATGGTAGGTTATCGTTTTCCAGGGGTCCCTGAATTCCTAACACAGCTTGGTGACCTGGTTCAATAGAGCAGAAAAGGATCTAGCTTCTTTTGAAGTGAAAGAAAACAGTTCAAAAGGGAACAAAGAAAGAGAGAGAGAGAGAGAGAGAGAGAGAGAGATTTTAAAATAATTCTCACCAAACTCCGATTAATCTAATCGACGATTTAACATTGTCGCCAGTCAAATATTATTTGCTCTATCTTTGCTCTTCGATCATTGTTGAATAACAAGCTACAGAACTGGAAATTGGCATCGGCAATTCTCATTACTATTCATCGATTAGTTTTTAATCTGAGTTGGGTGAAAGTCACATCCCTTACATCGATGAGACACAATTCAACTTCAGACTTGCGATGAATTAATTAAAAGCGTAAGACTATCAGACTCGCGTGAGGGGAGTCTCGAAGGCGTTATAGATTAAATTATAGAAATGGTATTTCGCGATAAGCAGAATCGGTTTTTATCGGACTCGTAACTTTCCACAGCTGCGGCCGCATCATCCGGCAAGCTAGCTGGCAGGGGAGGTTGCTGTGGCGCAAGAATGATCGCGGAGCATCGATTATACCTCGTCGAAAATAGTTGTGTGCTTTCGTAATTAGTTCCCGCTTTAATTTCCACCACGTGTCCGAAAATAATTGCTATCGTGTATCATTCATATCGCGTAATAACCATCATGTGTGATTATTAAGTTTATTTATATGCACGGTTAGCTCCATAAAAAAAAAGCGAGCTCGTAGTCCTGAACGATGAGATGCAAATAACCACTGAATAATAAGAGCGAGAAGGAGAGAAAAGTTCAGAAGTATGCCAAGAGGAGAGTGCATTATTATCGGCGGCTGCTGCTCTTGTTCGCGAACCACCGCGTCCCCCGCTTTTACGAGAGAGAGGAAACCGACATGGATCGCGAATCCATCGCGCACAGCTGCGGGATCTATAAATATTTCCGCGGATTTTAGCGCCGGCCAGCGCGGCTCGTTAACCGCTTGTTTTCGTTCTCTCGCAACATCCCGCGCAGGAGAGTTCGCGGATCCGCCCACACGAGACGGCAGAAACGGCAAATTTATCTCCCCCCCTCTCTTTCTCTCGTCTCGAATGTTTTTTCTTTGTATTTTGTCCCTTCTCCTTTTTCCGCCCGCGTTTTCGCTCGCTCGTGCCACTTTTAACCGTGACAATTGTGCGACGCAATCTGATTCGCGTGTCGACTAAAGCGGGTGGCGCGTATACACAGAGAAAAGATTTTGGATTTAATCAAATCCCCTCAATTCGAAGAAATTTGTACTTTGGAATAAAGCAAACAAACGAAAGTTTGATTCAACAAACAGGATTGTTTAGTTTCTCTAACACCAAATATCTTTACAAATAACATATTTCTTTTATATTCTCGCTCAAACATTATAATGGTTGTCACAAGCGATAAATTATTTAAATAAAACGAAGTAATATTATATTAGCAAAATGTTAAAGAACCTCCTTTTGTTGACTGTTTTGTATATTTTATCTATTTATATATTTTACCTTGTTAAATAGCGTTAGAAATAGGTATTTAATCGGGCTTCTGAAGTCATATATTGAAGAATAGAAGGACTTTTTCCGCGTGCCGCAGCTCTAACATTCGCGCGATTCGCGCTCGCGAACAGTTTGCGGAAAGTTCTCGTTGCGGATCTCCAGCGCTCTCGATCCCACTGCGTCTATGTATGTGTGTGTGTGTTACGATCGAGCGATCGCGCACACAAGCCGTGTCGATTCGCTCGACAAGAAAGCGCGCTCGCCTGCATAACAATAACGCGCGTCCCATGTACACGGTGTACCGCTAGGAGCGGCACCGTGACACACAAACGGTCGGAACGTTTCTTCTTCCTCTTTTACGGCTCCCGCTCGGTTATGTATGTAACTCGCATATCCAGCACCGGAAATACATCGTCCGAAGTACGACGTCGAAGTGAAAACGACGAGGAGGGGTAGGAGGATCGAGATAACGCGACAACGCGCAAGTGCAATCCATTAAGCGAAGAGCACATCGCGAAGTACCGCAAGCTGCTACTACCACTCTGCATCTGTTTGCTTTAATCGAGAAAATGACTAAAACGAGTGGCAACGAGCGATCGATGGAGCCGTGCGTCGCGCGGTCGATGCGTCGAGCAACAAGTCGTATACGGGGTGTCCCGCTGCTCCTTCGTCGTCATTCCTTTCACCGATTCCTCGACCAATTTGGCAGTGATTCCTCCTCCGTGAGAAATCGATTACACATTTTGCGTTTGGTTAGAATTTCTCAATTTCAGATATTCAACGTCAACGATCTATCGTTAAGAATGACCAAAGTCGCCGACTTTGTTGTCCGTCGCGCGTTGACATTCCCGTTATATCGCATAGAAGTCTGATTAATGATTGCATTACCGAAGACACGATGAATAAATGTAAGACATAAATGTAATTTGAGACTACGTGCAACGATAATAACACGCAATTAATTGCGTGTAATGTGTAATTCAATAAGACGCGATAATATCGTAATATGCCCGGCTGCCGGTGACCATCACGACATCCGGCTTGTTCAAAAAGTAATAAACCCTTGTTGTGACCCTTGCGACAAACAGCAACGGAGCGGAGGAGAATTTACGAGACAGTTAATACCACATGCTAGTGCATAAAGGCATAAAATCAAGGCGTCGCCGAATGCCAGATCGGGCCGCGTTCGACTCGCGGATCGCTTTCGAGGCACGTCTCTCAGTAGCAACGACCGCGATATTTGCGCACCGGACCTATTTATACCCCCCTCGCGCGAGTATACACTTGATACACGCGACACACTCGCGGGCCAGACACGTGAAATCGGCCCTCTGGCACGAAGCAGAATCCGTCTGTTTCCGTCGAGTCGTCGTCGTCGTCACCGTCGAAGAGGAGAACGCACTCGTTCGCTCGAGTGTCGAGGAAGCCAAGTAGAAGTACGCATCCAGGAATGGAACAGCCGTCATCTCGTTCGCCCTCGACGGTGGACGATTCTATTTTAGCGCCCTCGAGAGTCCGGTGGGTAGGTAAACCACGTCGGATGGAATCCGAGGACGTACAACCTCCGGCTATCGTTTTCCTTCGCAAGCCATAGAAGACCGTTGGGCTACTCTCGAAATTTCTTCGAGTGAAATCCCACTCGCAAAGCAAAGTGACAGACGAGTCACTCGAGGTCGAGTGACTTTTTCAGTCAGGCGGAGTGAATTCCCCACACTCGAATCGTCGAGTGAATATTTTTACTCGACATTGGAGAGAACAAACTCGTTCTAATCGATTGAAACGTTCACTACGGATGGAGAATCCACTCGAAGTTCCGGTTAAACCGAGTCGAAATTTTTCATGCTACTTTGACGCTCGTAAGGAGAGTATAGACTAGTAAAGACCTACTTTGGCAATGTTATATGTTAACTTCTCTCTTGAATCTTAAATTAAACTTTTAATATTACCTTGAGGCTATATAAGTACTCCCGATATTTCGATTATTAAATTCATATGAATATTCAAAACAACTTATTTTGACATTAAGACGAAATTTAACACAGTATCTAAATTCCGTCTCGGGAAAACATTCTCCGAGTGGAATCTCAGTCCGAGGAATTCAGAAAGTGGCAATCGTCATTTATTAACGAGGAAAAGGAAACTCTGTGCTTACACAATAAAAAAAGATAAAGCAGCACGCGCGGACAGAACTAAAGAAACGACGACGTGAATAGGGAAAGTACAAAAACAGATAAATAAATACGGCAAGCTAAATGTGGCGGAAGGAACGACGGGGGCACGTGCGGTCTGTGTAAACTCCGAAGGAGCGTTTACAAACGGTGCTCGGGGCGAGGAGGGTGAGCTTTAATAAGGGAACAAAACCGGGCGCGCACGTGGCCGCGCGCGGTAACAACCCTTTCGACAACTACTATGGCGAGTTCGCGTTCCGCAGGAAGTCGAATATAAAATTGCGGACTGAAGGCGATCGTAAGCCGATATTCGCTGGTACGGCTCTTTCCTTCTTTCCTCCTCCGACGAATTCCAGCACGGAAAGCGAGTGGCTTCCGTGAACACGATTCTCAACCAGCGTCTCGTGGTTGCGCGAAGGAACGCGAGCTATTCGACGTCGCAGAAGGGTTGCGAGAACACGCGCTGCATGGTTGTTATGTTACAGAAGGGGTGAGGGATAAGAGAAGCAGGAGCGTTACTTCCTCAGGGACGGAATTATCCGACGGAGATTCGCACATGTCGCTCTTCGATTCATTATGCTCTCGATGAATAATATATAAATAAATAATCTGATTAATAACCGATAAAGTGTA